TTTATTTAGATAACAATATAAGAAAAGTTAAACAGTTATAGTTTCTGTAAGCTACTTCACAAAAAAAACAAAAAAAACGATACAGATAATATAAACAAAGATAAATTGAAAAAAAAAAGTTTGAATAAAATTAAACATCGCGATAAGAGTCTCCTCATCGATCGGATGTCGTTTTTGTGATTCATTAAGTCATATATATTGGACGTCGATAAGAGGGTTGAAATATCATGAATATTAGACACTGATTTGAGAACATGACGTCGGATTTGGACGTCGATTTGAGGAACGGACGTCAATAAGAGGTCGGACGTCGATCTGAGTCTAACATATATTTCAAGATGAACTAAACACTGAGTGAGATGCTTAACCAACAGCCCCTCAAATATGAGGGGTGCAAAATTCCTATTTACTTATTCATGTTATTCGCCATGATTAATCACGTGATTAATAGACCACGTTGAGAAGTTATATGCTAGATTGCGGATACCAAACGATGTCATGTCGACGATTTCGTATACATTTGTATTTATAAATATTTTGATATTTATATGTAGTTTGAAAATCTATTTCTTTTAAAAGACAGGGAATTGAAAAGACAGAGAAATTAAGAGACAAGTATGAGGATAGGCATTCGATAAATAAAGTTGATATTTTACAAATATATTCCAGTTGGTAAATATAAAAAAGAAGATGTGGTATGATTGCCAATGGGACAACTCTCCACAAGAGACCAAATGACACAGAAATTAACAACTATAGGTCACCGTACGGCCTTCAACAATGAGCAAAGCCCATACCGCACAGTCAGCTATAAAAGGTCCCGAAATGACAATGTAAAACAATTCAAACGAGAAAACTAACGGCCTAATTTATGTACAAAAAATGATCGAAAAACAAATATGTAACACATAAACAAACGACAACCACTGAATTACAGGCTCCTGACTTGGGACAGGCACATACATACAGAATGTAGTGGTGTTAAACATGTTAGCTGGATCCCAACCCTCCCCCTAACCTGGGACAGTGGTGTAACAGTACAACATAAGAACGAACTATAAAAATCAGTTGAAAGAGGCTTTATTCTAAAACCAGTTGTTGGCATGACACGGGTTATGTTCTTCTCATATATTTTATGATGGTATAATACTAAACCCCTAACAGGAGGGATTGTGCCTGATATTCATATGATGAAGACATAATCTTTCAATCAGTTTAATTGAGGCCTGGAGCTGGCATGTCAGTAACTGCTAGTAGTCTGTTGTTATTTATGTATTATTGTCATTTTGTTTATTTTCTTTTGTTTCCTATTCTGACATCGGACTCGGACTTCTCTTAAACTGAGTTTTACTGTGCGTACTGTTGTACGTTTGTTTTTTCTACATTGGCTAGAGGTATAGGGGGAGGGTTGAGATCTCAAAAAACATGTTTAACCCCTGTCCCAAGTCAGGAGCCTCTGGCCTTTGTTAGTCTTGTATCATTTTTAATTTTAGTTTCTTGTGTATAATTTGGAGTTTAGTATGACGTCCATTATCACTGAACTAGTATACATATTTGTTTAGGGGCCAGCTGAAGGACGCCTCCGGGTGCGGGAGTTTCTCGCTGCATTGAAGACCCATTGGTGGCCTTCGGCTGTTGTCTGCTCTATGGTCGGGTTGTTGTCTGCTCTATGGTCGGGTTGTTGTCTCTTTGACACATTCCCCATTTCCATTCTCAATTTTATTAACTCATCAGATGGCTACAAATACAAATACACGTGGACGTGGCCGGGTACTTGTACATCCAAACAACACAAAGGCACTAAGTACAGATCTGAGAGTACTCGCAGTTACTGACAACTAGTTCAAAGCCACTAACAACTAATAAAAAAATCATGCATCTATAAGACTAAATAATCAATCCGTACACAGCCAAAATCCAATGGATTAAGTGTAAAGACGTCATAAACAGTCAGAGAAAAACATGACCTTGTGCAATGCCAAGATACAGGTATCGACAGATTGTAGATCCATGAATGTGTATATGTATATAACAATAATATTTAGCTTGCTTTCAATTTACTGATAACAGAATCAATATTAGTACCAATAAAAACAATATTTAATGATCTAATTACAGTGTTGAATTGGTAACCTTTTAGAATAAATTTATTTAAAGGATCGATAAGCTTACCAGGATCGTTTCTAAATTTCCGGGCACGGTAAACAATATTGCCGTAAAAATGCGGATGTGCAATCCCGTTTGAAATAAGTTTTCTACAGGTACAACCAAACTTCAAAACCAAATCTTTATATCTGTGGAAGAATTTTGTAAAGGTTTTTTAGTAATTTGTGGTAACGAAATCCCTGGCTTAATAATTTACCAGTAATACATAGATTACGTTCGTTAAAATCAAAAACGTCACCACAACAGACACGGGCATAGCGAACGAGTTGTGAAATATAAACACCGTTAGATGGTGCCAAAGGAACATCACCATCCAAAAAGGGAAAATTAACAATAGGGAACGAAAAATCGTCCCTTTTGTCGTAAATTTTAGTGTGGAGTTTCCCGTGTAAAACCGAAATATCTAGATCTAGTAAAGGACAGTTGTTACCGTTTAAATTTGATTTATTTAAAGTAAGTTCCTTTGGGTATATTTAGGCAGTATATTGAGAAAATTCTTGATTATTTAACGAAAAAATATCATCAAGATAACGGTAAGTGTTGTTGAATTTATCAATTAAATGCAATTTAGACGGGTCTTTACTGAGTTTGGTCATAAACTGTGATTCAGAACAGTACAAAAACAAGTCTGCTATTAAAGGGGCGCAATTAGTGCCCATAGGAATACCTACAACCTGTCGATAAACTTTGCTGCCGAATCGTACATAAATGTTATCAAGGAGAAAATAAACAGCTTCAATCATCTCATCACACCTCCAGTAAGTATGTCTAGCATATTTACCTTTCTCGTTAGAGAAGAAGGCTTTAAATGAGTTGCAGCAAATATATTTGCATTCAGATTTACCAAACGACCATTTAATTAAATAGTCAAATTTTTGTTTGATAAGATTGTGTGGAAGTGTAGTGTAAAGAGTAGAAAAATCAAAACTGTCAACAGAATCAAGAAGACCATCAAAAGTATGTAATTTATCTAAAACATCCAAAGAATTTTTTACACTCCAAAAATAGTTAATTCCACTTTTTTCAAATATTTTATTACAATAGTTTATGATAAGCTCTTTGATAGAAGTTAAGGAACTTGTTAAAAGCTCTGAAAGATAAGTTGTAGAAAACTTACTAGAGGCCGAGATGAAACGATATTTTACTGGTTTTTTTGTGTAGTTTAGGTAACCAATACATAGTAGGGACCTTCAAATGTTCAGAAGAAGCCTTAAGCTGTGATGTGGTTATGATATGTTTGTTAACTATATGACTCTATGTGGGGCGCATGGACTTGAATGTAGATGAATTCAAAATTTCCGAATTAAGAACTTCCGCGTAGTATTTACGGCAAACCCCCACCACATTGTTGGCTGCTTTGTCGGCCGGTACAAACACAAACTGCTTTGAAAGTTCTTGAAGTTTATTTCTTATTCTGGAAATAGGCGTATTATGTACTCTATTATTTACTTCTAAATTGTTTTCAAAATGTGATATTCTATTGTCTACCACATTCATACATTTATTCAAATAAGAATCAAGAGATTTTTTATCAGATTTTTCCCGTTTACACCAATTTTTACAAAACGAGGAAAGAGCATCCTTGGTGACCTGACGACACTGTTTCCAATCTATTTTAGATGGAGGACGATATTTTGGTCCTTTTTTCAAAAAGTTTTTAACCTCTCTGTCCTGGACGATATTGAGGTCCCCCGTAATAACATGGCCATAGGGAACATATCTAAACTTCGACGATTCACAGTTTCAAGTTAAAGGAGTATTATTTTCTACATTGACGTCTGATGTTACCGGCGTATAATTAAAAATCAAACTTCTGCTGGGTTTTTTGTATGTGTATGAAATAATAGGTGGTTCTGCGTTATCAAAATAGGGAGGTATGAAGTTTTGAACGGTAGAGTCAATAAATATACTAGATAAGTTGATAAAATCAATACATCTGCTAATATATTTAATTTTTAAAAAATGACGTTTATGATCTTCAGGTTTGTCGATACGCGGGAACAGCCTATATATGGTGTCAAAGAGCTGTAATTATACGCGAATATTCATACATGGGCTGAAGAAAGAGATTTTGTCACACTCCTTGAAAATATCATGTAATTTATTAATTGGTATTTGACCCAGTTTACATAATAATTGATGCCACATATAATAATGTTTTTTTCTCCTTTTGACTTTTAATTAAAAGACATTAACATGTGTCCAATCTGCTAGGCAATCAACATAAAACTTTTTTCTTAGAAAATTATTGAAATGCTTAATAAGTATAGATACTCAGAATATTGGTTAATATGCATGCCAAAGTATAATTTTTGCAAATTAATATTTTGAAAACTCTCTATTTTCCTTATACTCTTTTAATTTCAACTAGCCCCCCCCCCCCCCCCCCCCCCCCCAAACCAAGACATGATCAGTCCCCTATTCAAATTGAAAATGTAATTCTTTTTAATTTGTTTGCTTGTTATTTCTTTCAAGTTCAGGGTGAAGACAGGTCTCTATTTTGTATATCTGATCAATATATTTTAAACTATTTTATCCAGGAAACTATACTTGAAAACATATAATTTTTTTTCCATATAAAATATGAAATACAGCAGCTTTACATTCAAATATATCTATCATCCTATTTCTTGTTACTGATTTTTTGTCAAACTATTAAGTTTTCCATTTAATAGATATTTGCCAATAGGGTTGAGAGAGACGGTTTTTAATTCTTGAACAAACTAGAACTAACATAGTATAGTCATAGAAAGATTAAATTATGGGGAAGTAACTCTTGACAATTTTTACGATTTAAAGGGCAGGTCGCAAGCAAACGCTTTGTTTTGGTTCGATTTCGAAAGTGAGGCTATTCACCAGCCATTCATCATTTAAATGAGTTACCGCACTTTGTGATGTGAATTAAGTGAATATTGACAAAGTAGAAAGCATACCGTTTAATAAAAAGTATTACAAAACCAGAGAAAAGAAGAATTTTAATTTTTAAACCGGAAGTGAATAAAAAACCGCGACCAGAAGCGGCGTGGAGATGGATGAAGAGAGCGGAGAGCTATTGTCCCAGAACAAAATAGAGGTTTTGTGTTATAATTTTCTTAAATTAAGCTTAATAATTAGTCCTTATCATTTCAAGAAGGTCCACTGAAATGCATGATTATAATTTTCTGCGTGTCCAGGCGGAATCATAACAGATATCGTGCATTTTCGAAATCGTTAAAGGGCGGCAACTCCAGCGCGGCATATATTAGAAATTAAGAAAATAATCGACAGATAAACAGGTGATGCATAAAAAAAACATAACATTTACATGTCCTTATGATGTTTCAACTAAGTTTCAATTTAAAATATGAAAGATGAAAAAAAAGCTCCTAGTGATATACAAAAAAAAAAGAGTGGTCATTAACTCACAAAGATCTGCCCAACCTAAGGGAGTACCAGAGATGGGTGCAAGACAACTCATACCCTCTACAAAAAGACAACTTGGACCGTCATTAATTCCATTTCGGACAAAGTATTAAAGGAGAGTAATGCACTTGTATTCAAATTATAGAATCACCATGATGAAGTAGAAATTAGAATTTACAAGTACATTAAACCAATTATTTTTGGCACAACATTTTTTTGCAAATGCAGCAAGGTACAAAGGCTACTTTAATGTGACGTGTTCGAAAATCAGTGCGATCATTAATTTTTTAAAGAATCGTGCCCTTGGAAACATTAATTATATTTAAATTCTCCCTCATGAATTCGTCCGAATTTAAAACATTTCTATTCTAAATACATGGCTAAATAAGAGACAAGTCATAATTTAGGTTTGTTTGCTCGCAGTAACTTTCTTATTTTCTCAGCGAAACAACATTTAATATCTTGTAAACATTTTACAAATTACAAAAATATACCACAATTCCATCTATATACATTCACAATGTCCTCTAAATACATATCAATACAAACATAACTGTAATATATTATGCAGAGCTTAACGTTAACTTCGTCTATCAAAGTTACTGGAGCACATCGATAATAACCAAACGTAATCAGGACTTATATATGCCTATAAAACCCCACCCGTACTACCGCCCTCGAAATATTCGTGCAGAAAACAACAGTAACATCAGACCACTTCTGATTTACATACTAGCCAAACTTGTACCACAAGTCTAAAGATAGAAATAGAATAGGGAAATTCCAAATATAACGGAATAGAAATAAATTTAAATTCTCCCTCATGAATTCGTCCGAATTTAAAACATTTCTATTCTAAATACATGGCTAAATAAGAGACAAGTCATAATTTAGGTTTGTTTGCTCGCAGTAACTTCGATAAAACAAAGGAATAAATAATTTGAGAACTATATGCCAAGATTCAAGGAAACAGCCATTTGAGATTTTAAATTGTCTTTAATATACCCATCTTAGGCTTTATCCGAAGCCCATCTACCGTGGACTTTAAGTAACCTATCAGAGACTCCTCTATTAGCCCCCGTAGAAGCGCCACCACTTCTCAAACTATGAAGCCCAAACTTAAACTTATCTAAACCAATATCTGATAAACTCTCTAACAAAATTTCTCTCGCTCTGGTATAGGACAATGGACTATTTATATTACATAATTTATAAACATCTTTCAATTTCATAAAAGACAGTGCTCTGAAAATATAGCTATCAGAATTTTTGCTCAATTCAGCTAAATTGATATACTTATTTAACCAAAAAACTGGACATAAATCTGTACCTGTAGCAGCTATAACAACAGAATTACCCCTTCTGTATAAATCAGTTTTGCTTTTATCAATGCGAATTTTAACATGACTGACTTGAAACTCAATATTATTCATCTTAATGTTAGCCAATTCACTATACCTCAAAAATCCAGAAAATCCTAACAGAAATAATACTACTACACGCAATTTTTTGAGATTATTATGATCTCCGAACTTCAAAACAATTTTCCTTAATATATCTGACGTAATAGGTTCTTTTTTGTTTATAGATTTACTTAGCAATCTCCTTCCTCCTTCATAAATAAGACCAAGGAATTTGTCTGAACAAGGATTATGTTCGAAATTAAAGTCATGAAACCATTTTATTGAATAAAAACTTGCATCTAAAATCGCAACACTGGATCCCTGTTGAATGAGTCCACCTATATACATAGAAATCGTAGTAGTTGTCGCTGGTAAACACTCAAGTGAACATGAAACACACCATTTTTCAAACTTTTTAAAATAGCACTTGTATTTCTTAATTGTAGAATTTGATCTAGACGATTCGACAAAAGAGGGTAAATCTCGTATGATACTGGCAAATCTCGAATCATTGGCATAACACTCAAATTGTTTCCATTGATCTGTAAAATAAATATAATAATGAATACCAAGTAATAACTATAAACAAAGTAAATATAATTAACATTACTACTATAAATGAATGCGGCATTTCCCTCGCAAACAACCCAGTGCGGCATTTCCCTCGCAAACAAATAAATGCGGCATTTCCCTCGCAAACAAATGAAAGCGGCATTTCCCTCGCAAACAAATGAGTGCTGCATTTTCCTCGCAAACAAATGAATGCGGCATTTTCCTCGCACACTTACTGTGGCATTCAACCTCACAGTATCTAAAAAAGTCATATACTTATATATATACAGTGGCATTAACCCTCACTGTATTCATAAACAATTAATCAACAATGTTAACAATGACATATCTAATTGTTGCAGTTAAAACATCACAATGTTAAATTTAACATACTTACGAATATAGTCTCATATCTGATAACTGTGGCAAATAACCATCGCAGAAAACTAAATCAACTACAGTCTGTATACAACATTCAATGCATAAATCTCAATACTTCGAGAAATCCAACAACAAAACATATACATTACTGTTAAAAGGTCTCTGTGCAAATATACTCTTTTCTTGTGAACCTTTTGTAAAAAAGTTCATAGGTTTTTAAAATAACGCACTGTATCACCATATTGCCAAGAAAATCCTAAATATTTTTGATGATCAGGGTGAATTTCTATATGGTGATAACCAGACTTTAAATCAAATTTAAACCCAAAACCGCTAAAATTTACAAATGTCATAGCTTCTTTAACCCTAACCAACCTAAGGGAGTACCAGAGATGGGTGCAAGACAACTCATACCCTCTACAAAAAGACAACTTGGACCGTCATTAATTCCATTTCGGACAAAGTATTAAAGGAGAGTAATGCACTTGTATTCAAATTATAGAATCACCATGATGAAGTAGAAATTAGAATTTACAAGTACATTAAACCAATTATTTTTGGCACAACATTTTTTTGCAAATGCAGCAAGGTACAAAGGCTACTTTAATGTGACGTGTTCGAAAATCAGTGCGATCATTAATTTTTTAAAGAATCGTGCCCTTGGAAACATTAATTATATGGAAAACTGCATCGTTAGCACTCTCATGTGTACAATTCTTGCCAGATTTTTATGAAACTTATATTGTAGGTTTATATCATCATTCAATGTAACAGACTAGTTCGAAAATCAGTGCCATCAATAATTCATGATATGGAAAATTGCATTGTTATAGCGCTCTCATGTGTACAATTCTTGCCAGATATTTATGAAACTTATATCATAGGTTTATAACAGCAATGTCTCAGACAAGTATGAAAATCAGTGCCAATCAATTATTTTTAAAAGAGTTGTGCCCCTTAGAAATATTAATTATATGGAAATCGCTTTCACAATTTTTGCCAGATTTTTATACGACCGCAAAAATTAAAAATTTTTTGGTCGTATATTGGTATGACGTTGGCGTCGTCGTCGTCGTCGTCGTCCGGCGTCTTCCGAAGACACATTGGTTTTCGCACTCTAACTTTAGTTTAAGTGAATGGATCTCCATGAAATTTTACCATAAGGTTCAATACCACGAAAGGAAGGTTGGGATTGATTTTGGGGGTTATGGTACCAACAGTTAAGGAATTAGGGGCCAAAAAGGGGCCAAAAATAAGCATTTTTGTAACTTTCAGACAATAACTTGTGTGTAAGTGTATGGATCTCTCTGACATTGTACCACAAGGTTCCATATCACAAAGGGAAGGCTGTAATTGATTTTGGGGGTAATTGCCTCAAAATTTTAGGAATTAGGGGCCAAAAAGGGGCAAAAAACAAGCATTTTTCTAGTTTCATGACAATAACTTGTGTGTAAGTGTTTGGATATTTCTGAAATTGTACTACAAGGTTCCATATCACAAAGGGAAAGCTGGAATTGAGTTTGGGGGTAATTGCCCGAAACGTTTAGGAATTGGGGGCCAAAAATAAGCATTTTTCTAGTTTCCAGACAATAACTTGTGTTCAAGTGTATGGATCTCTCTGAAATTGTACTGCAAGGTACCATACCACAAAGGGAAGGCTGGGATTGAGTTTGGGGGTGATGAATCATAAGGGGGTTCAAAAAATTGGGGGGGGGGGATTTTTTTTTTTTTTTTTTTTTCTTTTTATTCCTTTTTTTTTTCTTTTAAAATTTTCCATTTTAAGTTGGTTATTTCTGATTTATATTTAAAAGCAAATAATAATGATATGGTAGGAGATACACACCAAACAGGATGTGTAAATTATTATATAATAAGTATTGCACAATAGCAAGAAATCTTCAATTGCACAGTATTGCGCAATAGCAAGAAATCTTCAATTTAACAGTATTGCGCAATAGCAAGAAATATCCAATGGCACAATATTGCGCAATAGCAAGAAATTGTCAATTGTACAGTATTGCGCAATAGCAAGAAATATTCAATTGCACAGTATTGTGCAAAAGAAGATACTTCGTATAAATTGCTTATTTCTTGATCAATTTCAATGGGGTTTTATTCTTGAATTCTTGGGGTTCTTTAATATGCTGAATCTAACCGTGTATTAAGTTTTTGGATTTTGGGCCCCGTTTTTAAATTGGTCCACATTGAGGTCCAAAGGGTCCAAAATTTAACTTTGTTTGATTTCATCAAAAATTGAATTATTGGGGTTCTTTGATATGCCGAATCTAACCGTGTATTTAGATTTTTAATTTTGGGTCCCGTTTTTTAAATTGGTCTACATTAAGGTCCAAAGGGTCCAAAATTAAACTTAGTTTGATTTTAACAAAAATTGAATTCTTAGGGTTCTTTGATATGCTGAATCTAAACATGTGTTTAGATTTTTGATTAAGGGCCCAGTTTTCAAGTTGGTCCAAGTTGGGGTCCAAAATTAAACTTTGTTTGATTTCAACAAAAATTGAATATATGGGGTTCTTTGATATGCTGAATCTAAACATGTATTTAGATTTTAGAATTTTGGCCCAGTTTTCAAGTTGGTCCAAATTGGGGTCCAAAATTAAACTTTGTTTGATTTCAACAAAAAATGAATATATGGGGTTCTTTGATATGCTGAATCTTACCATGTATTTAGATTTTTTATTTGTGGGCCCGCTATCAAATTGGTTCATATTGAGGCCAAAAGGGTCCACAATTAAACTTTGTTTGATTTCATCAAAAATTGAATTATTGGGGTTCTTTGATATGCCAAATCTAACTGTGATTTTAGATTTTTAATTTTGGGTCCCGTTTTTTAAATTTGTCTACATTAAGGTCCAAAGGGTCCAAAATTAAACTTAGTTTGATTTTAACAAAAATTGAATTCTTCGGGTACTTTGATATGCTGAATCTAAACATGTGTTTAGATTTTTGATTATGGGACCAGTTTTCAAGTTTGTCCAAGTTGGGGTCCAAAATTAAACTTTGTTTGATTTCAACAAAAATTGAATATATGGGGTTCTTTGATATGCTGAATCTAACCATGTATTTTGATTTTGGACAGTGGACCATAATAGGTAAATTAAAAAAATTGAAGTTCTTAGACCACATTCTTTCTGTGTCAGAAACCTATGCTGTGTCAAATATTTAATCACAATCCAAATTCAGAGCTGTATCATGCTTGAATGTTGTGTCCATACTTGCCCCAACTGTTCAGGGTTCGACCTCTGCGGTCGTATCAAGCTGCGCCCAGCGAAGCATTTTATTATCAAATTCATACATGTCATATCAAAGGTTAATATCAGCAATGTCACAGACAATTTCGAAAATAATTGCTTATCAAATATTTTTAATGAGTTGTGACCCTTGGAAATATTGAATATATCAGAAATTGCTCTTAAGTCTTCAACTCTCTAAGATAATTTTAAAAAGTTTTAAAAAAACAAAAAAAAATGTTTTTCAGTCCGTGCATCCGTCCGTTCGTTCGTCATTCCTTTCGTCCGCCTGTCCCGCTTCAGGTTAAAGTTTTTTTTTTCAATCAACTTGAAACTTAGTGCACATGATCCCTATGATATGATCTTTCTAATTTTAATGCCAAATTAGAGTTTTGACCCCAATTTCACGGTCCACTGAACATAGAAAATGATAATGCGAGTGGGGCATCAGTGTACTAGGGACACATTCTTGTTTTTAGTTATTGACTTTGAACAGATAAAACATGTGCACAGCGGGGGACATTGGAACTCTGTTCATTTATTTCAATAGGTTTGGCTACAGAAATATCCAATTATGTTTCGTTGTTGATCATGTCACTTAGAATTCTTCAGCTTTCTTTCCATAATTTTGCTCATAGCAATCATGGTACAATGGTAATTAGACAAATAGTCATAAAATTGATAGGACATAAAGTGAGAATTAATTGGTTGTGAATTGTTTAAATAAAAATAAATATTAAGAAATATCTTCTTTTGATAGAATAAATAATACATATATGTAGACATTTTTTATTTGCAAAATTTTGAATGAAGATCTATATTCTAGTTATACAAAGGATATATTCCTTGACACCATGCATTAAACAACAAGACAATTTGAGCAGTTGAGGTAGCTTGTTTTCTTAACAATAACTTGATCATGTTTTTTTACAATAAATTAAGCTTGCAAACATGGCAAAGTAAAACAAAATAATCTCTAAACCAAATTTTGTACTTTATCCTGTGACCAAGTGGTCTTAATTTCAGTAAATTTTCAGTTAATGAAAAATGACTGTGTAAAACTTAGAAATAACATGAATGTATATATATGTTATTTCCTTTCAGGGAACCAACACAAAACAGGATTCTGTTACAACAGTGATTAATGGAGATCCTGAAAATAGTTCTACATCCAAAGGTAATCAGGTTATTTGATGATCAATAGATTATGATATTATGACAAATATGTTATATTTTTTAAACATTATTTCTTTTTAGATCAAACAAGGTATACTTGTTTCCTGCCTTCTAGCAGATTAAAATGGGTGAGGCAGGTGGTAAATTAATTATGTTTTGAAAAATATTTTTGGAAATATTCTGGACTTAAATGGTACTTGAACTAAAAATGTCTATAAAATATTAGGGTAACCGTAGGTTGGGAGACAGGAAACAGAACTACATTTTTGTTTTGCCTAAGTTGAAGAAATCCACATCAAAATGTTTTCAATTGTTTCTGGAATAGAATCTTGTGCACAACCAGTCTTCATGCTTAGCCACAGGCCCAGCAGCCCAGGCTTGTAAAATTGTTTTGGGGCCTGTCCAAATCATCTTTACAGGCCAACAGAATCTAACTAAAATTTGCTGAAAATTGAGCTCTGGGCCTGTAGATTCAAAGGTTTATCGTGAAGACTGCACAACATTTTTCCAAAAAATTGTCTAATTTTTAATAGGCCATTATGATTATAAAATTCGTTATTTTCCCTTTCACTCTCAACAATTTCTGAATGAGCTGAAGTCGCCTATAGACTTGCCCCTTATCCTTAAGGGCATACAATACAGTTACAGGGGAGGTAATGAAGTTGCTAATGTAAATTGTTATTTTCACGACGTCAAACTGTGACATATCGGGAAATGATGCAGTTTTCGACTGTTTTTATCATTCAAAATGATTTAACTTGAAAACGAGTTCATGGACCCCTCTTTTTTAAAATGACATTTGGTTTGATTACGATTATGTGTACCAATTTTAATGAAAAAGTCAATAATGCAATTTTTTTTAATTTGATAAATATACAGCAAAAAATGACGTTTTTTTTCTACATTCATGAACATTTGATAAATATGAGTTATTTGTGAAAATAAAATGCACAAATTTATAGGACATTTATATAAAACAGAATTTACAAATAATTTAAAAAAAAAACAGCTTGTGCTTATCTTTTTAAACAAAAAAGTTATGTATTTCTGTCGAAAGGAAAAATACGTCCACAAATCCGAATTTTGAGCAAATAACTGAAATTTCGACCACAATTTACTCAAAAAGTAGCACATGAAGGTATATTTTTTATTACATATTTGATTTAATCAGGTCAAGAATAGCCTGCATACAAATATTCATCAAAATTTCATTATGGGATCAAAACTGTATCGTATGCCCTTATTTAAGAAGTTCCTTCAGCAAAAACAGGTTAGTCAAAGTCAATTAATTTCAAAATGAAATTAATTTGATCCATGTGTACCAATTATCAGGTTGTCTGCATATTGATATTGTAAAATATCAGCTGCGAGTCACAATATGAAACTTTTTTTTCGAGTGAGTGCTGCAAATGAGTTCAAAAAGGCTTCATACATATGTATTGTGTCGAGCAAACAAGTGTTTTTCTTTGTTTCCCCAGCAAACCGAAAGATGACTTAATAAGTTCGGGTCAAACTTATCAATGTCGGTTCATTCATTACACATGACGTCAGTGATGTCCGGGTCAAGGTTATTTAGGCTGGGTTAATGTATTTGATGTCACAAAGCCTTGATATGCAATTTTATGAAGAGCTGAGCAGAGTGATACAGACAGTGGGAACACGGATAAATATTGCAAACATCTAGAAGGGTCTGTTAATAGGACCAGTTCAAACTAATATTATGACTAAGTTATTCATTAGACTTATCATGCTTATATAGGTTTAAATTGCCAAACTTGATTTGAATATACAATCCACTCTGATACAAATAAGTCCAAACATGTTTAGACTTCCACTAAACAAAATAAGTTTGACACAAGAGTTACCTTTCATTTCTTTTACTAGCCTCAACTGACTCTAACAAGATGATAGCTGTCAAATTTCAGTCATAGTTGACCTGAACAAGTCTAAAAATGTCAACAGTAACTGTGAACATGGTGAAGAATGGTGATTTCATTGATTTAGTACTACAGTGGCAAATTAAAAAAATCCTCTCTTGATAATAAATTAGCTGAAAACAGAAACCATTCTGAACGAGTCAAAAAATTTGCTGTCATCACATAAACAGAAGTCAAAACATGAATTCAGCTCTGTCTGTATAATTTCATTTGTTGATGACGAAGTACAAATTAGTGTTAACAAATTTTCTTTTTAAAGATTTAAATGGGTACAAAAAACTTCTTGACCTGATTCTATGAATCCAAATACAGTAGGTTATTCTCGAGAACAATCATATGCTGAAATATTCTTTTAAATAATTGACCAAAAAGGTTATTATTAGTTATTTTATTTTGGTAGATCTGAATGTTGAAGAAAATCAGAGGATTAATGGAGAAGTTGGTGATAGCATCACTGCAGAAAAATTAACAAGCGAAAGTATAGAGACAGGAACAAGTGTAAGTGGAGAGACAGGAAATGGAGTGACTGACGAAACTGGAGATTGTTCATCTGGGGAGAAATTAAACAGCTTGGCCAAAACCATAGATGATGAACCAGGAGTGGTTGATGCTTCAGGAGATGGGGAGGTTGAGGAGACAACTGATGGTCTGGAAGGAGAAATTGGAGACTCCTCTGATGTCATGCCAATACAACTTGGAGATACAAGTCAACAAGACGATGATGATGATGTGTTAGATTTAATGGACGATAATGGAGAAGATGGAAAGAATGATCAAACCGATGGAATGGTTACCTCTGACATGCAAGATTGTGATGATCAAGTCATTGATTTGCCTGAGGAAAGTGAACAAGTTTCGCAAACAAAGGAAATATGTGAAATTGTTGAGACTAATGAGCAGACATCTGGCCTGGTAGAGGAAAAACTGATAGAAGATACCAGTTTAATGGTACCAGAACAAACAGGGCTGTCTGGGGAGCATGAACAAGTTCCAGACATTTCTGATGGAAATGAGCCAAATACAGAGCAGGAGGATTATGATGTTTTGGATCTAAATGATGAGTCTGACTTGCGTAAGAATAACTCATTAAAACATGTTACAATATTTGTGAAAAAGATGTGAAAAGAAACAAAAGTTCTATAAAAAACCTTCATTCAAAATTTAAAAATTTAGGTTGAACAAACAAGACCATTTACAAAAGATGAAAAAATTAAACTACAAGATCAATCACTAAATCTACTCTAGGAATAAGAAAAAATGCATCCAATTTAGGAGCAAGAGTTGAATTAGGAAGATTGCATATAGAATGTTTTATTAAAACACAAACCCTTTTATATTTAGCTAGACTATATAATAATAATATTAATCCATTGATAAAGGTACTTTTTTAACTAACCGTAATAAAATTAATGTACATTAAAGGAGAATGAAAATTATGTTCCACGTTTAGCAGACATTCTGAACTCAAGATTAAAAGTCTGGAAAAAATGTCTCAAGTTCTAGATTTGATGTTTTTTTCTTGAAGGTAAAGGTCGTATACTTTTTTTTTCTTTCGAAAATACATCAATCATGGACTTCAAAATTTGATTCTCAAAATAAATTGGTAAAAATTTTATCAGACTTCTTACAGAACATGCAGAAAGCATATTGTGTTATTCATTTTATTCAGTCAAACAGAATATTTTGGAAGGCCTTTCATACTTTGCAGGTATTATCTTTCCCTAATACAAAATCAAAAGGCCCTAAAACATTAGAAATACACCTACTTCAATGTCTACAGACTTGAGCACTCAAAAAATAGAATTGAAGCAGAAGGCTTTATCTGAGTGAGGAAAAAACACTTTTGATGTATTCTAGGTGCAATCTTTAGTGACCAGAGTATTAGGCCAACAAAATAAAATGTCACCATTTAGAATAAAAATTGCATTTTTACAAGATTGGCCTTAGCATCATTGGCATGCCTGCTCTGTGCATGCACCACATTTGAAGACAAGGGAGATAATCACTTGCCAGTAAAATGTCATCTGGACCCTTAAAAATTGTGACAGAAAATAACCAGACGAAAATTTTACCCAAAGATGGCCTATGACTGTTATATATTTCACTTATTCCACTTACATATATATATTAAGATTGTTTTTTTCAGCTGCCTCTTCAGACCAGGATAAATTGGAATCGCAGGAGGATGATAAAGACCTAATAACAGACACCAGAGATGTCATTGAAGAAATTAAACAGTTAGATACAGGTATTTATCATCCTTTGAGTTAGTCAAAACATACTGTTTTTGACTTGCCATATCATTAACATTAAAGGAGAAATTGGAAAAAAAAGGTTACAAACATATGCGAAAAGGTAGTCATTATATAAATGTCTTAAATTTGATTGATTGACTTATTCATGGATGTTTTAAGCCCAACTAAAAGTATAAATTATATTCCGGAAAAAAACATTGTAAATTTAATATGAATGAACCCTGTTTTATAGTTTAGGGATCCAACTGACTCCCTTTGACTTGAGCCGAACAGCATATTTCATCTGCTATAATGCAGTAATGCATGTATTTAATAAGAACAAACTTGGTTTTATGAAACTTATTTTTATAACGTAGAAACTGAAAACCAAAGTGACATGGAAACAAAAGATGAGATTAGTCAGTCTGGAGAAAAAGATGAAGTCATGGAAGTTTGTAAAGATGAAATTGAAGATAATGTACTGAATACTGACATTAATGATGATGATGTCACAACTATCAATGATCAGGAAGATTGTCTATTAAATACTGAAATGGAGGCTGAACCAGAAGATGCTTCAACCATGGAAACAGGAAATGATGCAGGAGAGATTAATCTTGACACAGGTGAAATGGTTCAAAGTGAAAGTGGAGTGGAAAATGTTGACATGGAAAAAGCTGAAGAACCTGTTGAAGCAGTAATGGAGAATGAAGAAATAGAAAAAGATGTAGATATGGTCGGAAGTGAGGAGAAAGGAAATATAGATGATAAAAACAAAAATGAAAATGATGCTGATGTTTCAATGGAAAACATGGAGGATAAGGAAAAAACAGAAATTGTTGAAAATGTAAACAAAGAGAAAGAAACTGATGTTAGTCAGCCAGATGATTCCACAGTTGAGGAAGCGGGAGTCGATAGTGATGGGGGACTTAAAATTACTCAAGTTGAAAGTATCGTTGACTTGAAAGAAGACAGTGGAGGAAAAGAGAGTGGGGAAGAAATGGCTGTTTCTGCTCCTGAAGTGGAAAAAGAAAGTGGAGAGATAGAAAATATACTGGAGAAGGCTGTCACTACTAATGAAGAGGAAAAGGGGGTTGTAAAAGAAGGAACTGGAACAGAGGCAGCTGTTAATAATAGTGAAGAGAAGAAAGATAAGACAGAAGAGACTTCAACTACAGAAAATAAAAATGAGAAAAAAGTTGCTGAGATTAAGAAAGATACTGACGATGTACAAATTGTGGAAAAACCCAAAGAAGAAGAGATTGACATCATAGATTTGGATGCTGATGATAGTGATACAGAGAAAGAGGTAAAGAAAGAGAAAACTGATGGTACTAGTGGGATACAGATAGCTTCCGTTAGTGGTGGTACTGATATATCCAGTGTTAAGGTAAGTTTTGATGTCAAATAAGTTATGGTAACTACCAAACTTTAGTTCTTATTACATTTGATAGTATCTCATTGTGCTCTTGGAATTCAATATATTAGAGGCACAGCCTGATTATATATTGTCTGAAGGACCTTAGATTTTGAATGTTCTTCAGAAACACTTGTGTGGTAGTCAGGTCTTCAAATTAAAGTTAGAAGGGTGTTTGATTATGATAGTTTGCCTTGAAGGAAGTGTTACACTATAACTTATAATTTTATACATTGTAAGGTAAAATAGAAAGCGTCTAAAAAAAACCATCCAAGGCCAAAAATAAATTAAATTGTTTGATATTGCCTACTTACCAACCTTACAAGCAGCCTTCCCAAAATATTTTATGACACAAATTGTTTCAAATTTTTTTTTAAAGATTTTTCTTGCTTTTTTTGTCTAAAACATGTAATTTATGTTGTTGGCCCAAAAAAATCCCTACCTACCTACCCAACCCTACAAGCTTAAGGCATGGGTAGGCAACATCAAACAAAGAAATTTTCAAGGGTGGCACAAAAAAACCCACTGAAAATCCCATGCTCCGTAGCGGAGGGGGCATTAAGCTTTACCCTTGTCCGTCTGTACGTACTTACGTCCCAAAATTGGTTTCCGTTCTCTAACTTTAGTTTGCCTCAACCATATTTTATGAAACTTATACACGATGCTAATTACCACAAAATACAGATCAAGTTTGAATTTTGGTAGCGTCACTCTAACTGTTCTAGAGTTATGCCCCTTTATAAATGGAAAAATTCACAAAATTTTTAGTTTCCGTTCTCTAACTTAAGTTTGCCTCAACCAAATATTATGAAACTTATACACAATACTTATTACCACAAAACACAGATCAAGTTTGAATTTTGGTGGCGTCACTTTAACCGTTCTAGAGTTATGCCCCTTTAGAAATGGAAAAATTGCAAAATGTATAGTTTCCGTTCTCTAACTTAAGTTTGCCTCAACCAAACTTTATGAAACCTTTACACAATACTTATTACCACAAAAATCAGATCAAGTACAAATTTGGGTAGCATCACTTTTATCGTTCTTGAGTTGTGTCTCTTTATAATGTTGTATGCAAGCGGGGGCATCATCTGTGTCCATGGGGACACATTCTCCATTTATTTTCTAAACAACTGTCATTACAGAGCTGTATTAAAATTAGAGATTCTACTGGATATAAAAACTTTTACTGTGTAAAAGTCAATACTGAGTATCTAAATTTTTGCATGTGCCTAATTTTCACTTTATTTAAGGTAGTTTTTGTTACCACAAAATTTAGCCTTTGCTTACATTTCACTTACCATTTAAATGCATTATACAAGGCTGATTTATGCAAATAATAAACATGTAGCCAATATTGGCCTTCTATGGCCAAAACCCAAACAAAACCTGATATACTGTATATGAGATAAGTATGTGGGATTAAAGTGAGCATGTCTTTACTGAATTTTATGTATGACTGGTATTGTCTATCTTTGTAGGAATCAGAAAAGGTCAAAGTAGAGACAAAAAAAGGTAAATACAAATACAACTTATCTTTACAGAATTATTTCTTCATTTGTATAATGTTTTTTAGTAAAATAGGCAAATGATTATTGTGAATTCCAAAATTATTGCGAGGTTTTTATAATGTGAATAATGCAACTGGGTGAGTATCGCAATAATAAGAACCTGCATTTTGATATCTGATACATATATATATATATATATATCTGTATGCAGCTTTTCCAGAAATTGCAATAATTAATCTCACATTTTTGTTCATTCTTCAAAAATAAATGCATGCAATAATTTCTGTATTTCAGTATTTAAATGTTTTATAGAGAAGAAAGAAATAAAAAAAAAAATGTTAGAATTGAGCTGTTGTATTGCATTAGAATTTATAAATCACTGTAATTTCAGAAATTAATTTGATGTTTTTATTCATGCGAACAATGTGACAGTATCATGATCGCAATAATAAAAACTTGCATTCTTAATTTCAATAGCGATTTTCCTTCATAAAGGAGTAGGTTTGATACGGCCCTAAAATGGCCCCTATTTCTAGCTCAGAGCTCCAGATAAGAATTCACAAATTGGGGTGTTTACCCACCATTTTCTTATTTAATTGGGTGATAAAGTTTTTTAATTGCATTATCCATTTCAATTCACCCCTCAAGTTGATATCAAATTGGGTTTTTCACCACCAAGCTCATTATTGTATTGGGTTTTTTCATCCACACATTATTGAATATTTAAGCAATATCAACCCCAGATGTTTTTCAATCTTAAATACATGTGTATGTTCCTTTCTTTGTATATGTGCTATAGATGTTTCATTAGGTTTATTCACTGACGAGCGATTGTAGGTTTAATTTGTGTCCTGTTTCAAACGTCTGCCAGTTTTGTAGTTTGTCACAACTTATATAAACTGTAAAAAACGGATATGTGTATTCACAGACACTCGTCTCAGATTCCCCCCCCCCTTATATACCTTTATATAAAAAACTGAGACAAATGCATGTATGTGTACTCACTCATTAAATGTAAAATGGAAGAAATATATGATATAAACTGTATACTTGAATGTTTTTGTTTAATTTAATTTATATAAATCTGGGTCAAGCTGTCCCTCATTAGAACTTTTGGTTTCCGATGTTTTCCAACTACAATATTGGCCTTTAACTTTTTCCAACTGATTTTGTTTTTGACGAAACCCCGTGTTAATAAGCAATGTTCTCGATAAGGTACGCATAAACACCCGTGCGTTCTATGGAGGCTTCCTAATAACAATGGCTGAGTCTTGTTATCATCATAAATTTCACTTAGCTATTCAAAAGAAGCTGAAAACATGCTTCTATTCAATATTTCTACCGGACTTTCACTTTTGTTTTAATTCAATGTATGTTATGATAAATCCCGAGCAATTCGAAAAAAATATGATAACATGACACACACTAATTGGATAAACGCCGAGAAGATCAAAATGTTTTCAAAACCACGTGTACCTTTTGAGCAACGGAAAATTTAAACAGGGACCCATTTCAGCTTCTTGATGCAGAGATCTATTTTAAGAACGAAAGGAAATTTCCAATTATTATAAAAATAGATTTACGCGACGACTGTAAACAGATAAGGGTAAATAACGCAAACGGTAGCCAAAAAAAGGGTTGAGAACTCATGGTTTTGGCATATAATTGGGTTTTCCTTTGAATCAATTGGGTTATTGAACCCTGCAATGGTCAATTGCATTGGGTTTTTTATACGCTCGTTTACGGGACGTATTATGGTATACCGTTGTCCGTCTGTCCGTCCGTCCGTCTGTCCGTCCGTCTGTCCGTCGTCAACATGTCGGACATTAACTCAAGAATGCTTTAACCAATTTGCATAAAACTTTGGTGAATTGTTTATATCTATTGACGTGAGCTCCCTTTTGTTTTTTTATAAAATTTAGATTTTACGTTTCCGAGTTATGGGGTTTTATTCATTAAAAAAAGGGGGATTTTCCAGTTTTCGGACAATAAGTCAAGAATGCTTTCACCAACTTGCAAGAAATTGTGGTGAATTGTTTATATCTATTAACATGAGCTCTCTTTTGATTTTTATAAATTTTAGATTTTACGTTTCCGAGTTACAGGGTTTTATCCATAAAAAAAGGGGGGATTTTTCAGTTTTCGGACAAAAACTCAAAAATGCTTTCAGCAATTCTTATGAAACTTTGGTGAATTGTTTGTATGTATTGATGTAAACTCTCTTTAGAATTTTATAAATTTTACATTTAACATTTCTGAGTTATGGGGTTTTATTCATTAAAAAAAGGGTGATTTTCCAGTTTTCAGACAATAACTCAAAAATGCTGTCACCAATTCTTATGAAACTTTGGTGAATTGTTTATATCTATTGATGTAAGCTCCCTTTTTATTTTCATAAATTTCTAATATGGCATTGAGAATTAATTGAACTTTATTTGTTTATAGTCTTGACAACAGATTTACTAAGTGTTGCACAACAGCAAGAAATTTTTAATTGAATATAAATTCAATTCATATAACCAATTTAAGTTCTTTGAATACATTTATTCAGAAACCTATAATATGTCAAATATTTAATTACAATCCAAATTCAGACCTGAATCAAGCTTGAATATTGTGTCCATTTCTGCCCCAACTGTTCAGGGTCGGACCTCTGCGGGCGTATCTAGCTGCGCTCAGCGAAGCAGTTTATTATAATTTGTATTGCGTGATCACGCAAATACGCAGCTTATCTGGAGCTCTGCTAGCTACAATTTCAAATAAGGATTTATTGACTAAAGTTACAGTGAATCATAGCTAATACAATGTCTAGAAAGAAAATATGTCTTTTCATTGAAAATTTATGTACTTACGTTCTATTCATGACTTCACAAATAGCACTCATTTTAATTTTCCATGAAAATATAATGAAAACTGATAAATTCTCATTGATTTTTTTTAAAGAAAACATAGAGCGCATGTGTTGACAAAAAAGATCTTTTAACATCATGATTGATATAACATTTTACATATTTGACTTGAATATATTTTTTTTTATCTGTTTAGGATGTAAAAATGAATGCTTTACAATAAAACTTTGACACGTGTCTTTTCATCAACTTAAAACATTTTTTTATCTTGAAACTTGGAACTTAATAATTGGGGACAAATATGTCCCTTATCGAACTTACTCCTTTTTGAAATTGCATTACCTTGATTTGAATTTTGCCAGTGGTCAACGATTTGCAATAATAAATGTATGCATTAATTTCTGAATTTACAGTACCTGGATATTTGAAAATTGCAGTGTTTAAGTTTCTTCAGAGTGCATTCTGTTAAAATTGATTTGTTCATTAACATCTATTTCTGAATAATTTAATTTCGGATGTAACATGTCTTCTGATTGGCTGAAAGTTTTTTGTCTATCAGCTCATAGACATAATTTTGTCATGTGACTGTGACTTCATCAATGTTTTTTTCATGATTTACACCTTAAAAATGGAATTTAGAATTAAATTATAAAGACTGACCGTAATATTTTTACTGTCTATTCGAAATAAACTACGCGGGTTATTCAGTGTGAACCACATTTTTGATGTTATTTCATCATAGACAGAAAAATATTACATTCATGCCTTAATGAACTGTAAAATAGTTTAAAATAATTTTCTTTTGTTATACATTTCTGCTGTTGGCTTACTGTATTATAGATGTAAACCTTTTGTCTTTATCATTGCAATGTCAAACTTTGAATACAAGAAATGTCATATAACTGAATTTCAAGGCATTAGTGAATAATTTTTTAGTATAATTTACAATATGACTTTTTCAGATGTTAAACCAGTTGTGCCTGTAAAACAAGAGGTGAAACATGAAGTTAGAACAGACAATAAATCTCCAAAGAGTAAAATACAGACTTGTATTGTGTGTAAAAAGGTAGGACTGTTGGTAATTGTTGATACTGACATACTGAGAGAGAAAAAAAATTAGTGAAAATAAGAACGGCATAATAATATCAGATCCATAATCCAAACAAAAAAGTACAAACATCACCTTAATTAAATTCCAAAAACAAAATTTGCAGATAAAAATTTTAAATCACATTGTTGAAATAATTATTACAAACTGATTTTTGTTTGTTTATTTGATGAAATTTTTACCAATGAAAATGTCTGGAAATTTTTTGCGATCAATTGTAGTTTCAACTCATATTTCAATTTATCATGTTGGGCTTTAAAATATTATTTGTTGCAAGCTATTTCCACAACTTGTGAAAGTTTTATTCCCTGCTTGCATAAAGAATTTGCAGAAGTTTAATGAAAAGTTTAAGAAACTTTAAAGATTAATTAATTTATATATATGGTTTACCAAAAACAAGAATATTTTGTTACATGCTATCAAAGGGAATTCTGTAATAATAAGAACAAAACATGTTTTCACATGCAAAGAAAATGTGTTTGATGGAATCAAACTCATAGAGTTGTTTACTAGAATGTCCAAGGCTGAGGTGTGAGATCTTTAATAGTAGTAAATAAAGTATTACCATTTTTTAGTTTTTTTATTGATAAGACTAATATATTTGTTTTTCAGGTTGGAAAATGTAAATATAACATTGTTAGAAATGGTGACATCAAACATCTATGTGACGATGACTGTTTTAAACGATTCCGATCGAACCCTACAACATATTTACGATCATCAACACCACCACAGCCACAGGAAAACAAGACAGTCGCTCCTGCAGTGAACAACCAACATGGACAATTCAAAACCTGCCAAGTTTGTCAAGTCATGAACATCAATGCGTCAACAGCAAAACCATTTCTGAATTGGCAGGGTATGGATTTTTGTGGTGAGGATTGTCTTGGAAAATTCCAGAGTAGTCTGAATACGTCATGTTCAAGCTGTTCAAACGTTATTCAGCAAGCCACTAAAGGAAAATTTTGTTTCAAGTTTGGAAACCAGATCAGGCAGTTTTGTTCTCAGGGTTGTTATAACGATTTCCTGAAAAAGCAAAAACTTTGCGAATGTTGTCAAAAGGACATTACTAAAAGTTCAGATGCATTCGTAGCCCCAGCAGGTCCCGATAGTTCATTTAAAGATTTCTGCAGCCAAAGCTGTCTTCAGAAATACGAAGAGAAAAATAATCGTGACATTGAAATCACTGGTGTTGATCCGGGGAAGAAAAGTGGTCCTGCTCCTAAAGGTACCCATACTTGTTCCGTCTGTGCAAAGGTCAATACCATGAAACATCAGATTCAGCTGGAAGGGAAAACCAATTATCTCTGTGGGGATCCTTGTTTCTCAGCATTCCAGTATGCCAACAAATTGACAATGAACACTTGTGACAATTGTGGCATCTATTGCTACAACGAAGGGATGCATCCACAGTATATTCAGTTTGAAGGGCAGCAAAAACGCTTCTGCAGTTTCATGTGTGTAAATACATTCAAAACATTAAACAAAAAAGTCGTCTCATGTTCATGGTGTAATTGTAAGAAAAGTAACTTTGACATGATTGAGCGAGTTGATGCTAATAACAAGTACCAGTTATTTTGCTCACTGAATTGTCTGTCCTTGTATCGTGTGAATCTCCAGGCTACTTCGAATCAAGCGGTGCTATGTGACCAGTGTAAGAGATACGTTCCAGCACAATACCATCTGACCATGAGTGATGCTTCTGTTCGGAACTTTTGTTCTTATAATTGTGTCATGAAATTTCAATCACAGTTTACCTCCAGTGCTGCACCGTCGGGGACAACAACAACTGCTCCAAAACCTGGGGGGATACAGACCAGATCAACAACTAGGCCACCCCAGCCAGTGCAGCATAAACGTGAGTACTGATTTACTGATAAACTTCAGGATTAATCTATTTAGGTATGGAAAACTCACACACACAAATCTTTTCAATGCATATCTTTTGAAATTTAACTTAAAAACAGAACTTTGCATGGGGTTGAAGATCAATTCTATTTTATATGGTTCATTTTGTTAATTTGCGCTATTGTTTAACCTCCAGGACCTAGAGAGGTTAGATGTAGCATTCTATAGCCTGCATGGACTGGGCAATACATTTAAATGAAATAGCAACTCTGTAAGAATAAATTATGCCATCAACAATAATCTTAGAACTATTTATTCTTTAAACAAAATCAAGCTGCAGACAAAAATTTTGTAGTTAGACTTAAAGAGATCATTTATTAGGCACTTCACAAATTTTTTATTGCAATACACACTATATAAATCTTGATAAGTGATTGACTGTGGAACAGGAGGATTGCTTGTGATTGAAGGTGATTTACTTCCCTGTGATATTTCTCCTTCAGAAAAACTCATCAATGATACCAGGCTTATAATTTGGTATGCCAGTCGCCCCTTTCAACTACAAGGGGCCTCGATGGCCGAGTGGTCTAAGTAGTCGAACTACGGTATCACTAGCCAGTCAACACTGAGGTGGTGAGTTCGAATCCCGGACGGGGCAGGTGCACTTGACTCCAATTTTAATTGACAAGGATTGTCAGTTTTCCTACTGAAGGTCTGGTTCTCCCCGGGCTTTCTGGCTTCCTCCGCCAATAAAAACTGACCGCCACGAAATAGCACAATAGTGTTGAAAGTGGCGTTAAACAACAATCAATCAATCAACCTCTTTAGTACATAAGACTCATCATTGGCATATTCATGTAAAGATTTCCAAGTGAATCTAATGTCACAATTCTTATGTTATTACATCACATGAAGAGTAGATGTTCAACAATGATAGTCTATTTTAATGTTCCTTTTGATAAGTGTGATTATAGAGTCACATTCAAGTATTGTTGAACAAATATTTTCATCATGTTCAAAATATGCATCCCAATGATTGTTATCAAATTATATATTTCAGCTGCCATGCCACAAACTGCAATTAGGTCTGTAGCACCACACAATATGATTCGACCGCCTTTGCAGAACAGACCAACCAATCCAAACATGAATCAGATACCAATAATATCAAATGTGGTCTCTCTTGCACCTCAAGGTATGTTACCTGTATGGATGAACTTTAAGATTTTATAGAGTGTGGGTTATAACCATTAATTGTCATTTATATGTCCTAAATGTTTTCACATTTTCATCTTTTGTCTGAAACATTTGGTTACCATGCTTACTGTTGATTTTGACGTATTTAAAGTAGTTGATACTTTTAGTTATGTTGTGTTTTTATGTCTGTAGGGAGAATACAAATTTTTTCTTATGCCTGTAGGGAGAATACAAAAATTAAGTTTGTTTGACAGTCATAGTTGATAGAGTGGATTCAGGGGAGATAATTGTTTAAGCAATAAAGTATGTTCATCATCCAGCTGTAACAAATTTTTTTTATGACGATGTTGTTATATCAGAATCTTATCTCAAGACTACCAATACTAACCATCCAATGAGTTACCATAGAAATCTATAGTTACAAATGTGTAAAATGAAATAGAAGACAAATATTTGCTTTTGTCATAATTGTTGGATATTTTTGGGTAGCATATTGAATTTGGCGGGAGGAGATTTATAACTTTTCTGAACGTTGGAAAGTGATTTTCCACCAAAATATGAGGCAACAATAAGACTTTTTAGTCTCTATTTGTAGTAATATTTAAGCATTACAAGATTTATAATAATACAAAAAAGTGACCAGAATTGACAAATTACTAATTTTGAATAATTACTAATTTATGATTAATGTTAAGTTTATGTGACAGTTGTAATAAAGCTTTATATTTAGGACTACCAACATAATATCAATGATTAATAAAGAAGGCGAGATATTTCAGCGTGTCCACTCTTGTTTTCAAATTTTCTCAAAATGCCAGCTATTTGGACTCATTTTTTTTGTACTAAAAGTCAGAAAGGGGGCATGTTAGATATTCACAAAAAACGGTTGTTGGACTTCATTTCCTTCTCACTTGCTATATAGTTGAAAACATGGTTTGTACTACGACAGTTTAATGTCCCTATTACAATAAATAAGATTTTTTAGTATTGTCAAATATTTAATCATTACCGGGAAGTTGAATTGGTAACCACTGGAAATAGAAAGTTGAACTTGGTTACTACTAAAACTGGAAAGTTGAAACCTTTTGGCTAGACAATCAATCCTGCAAGTGTAGAAATTCAGAATAAAAATAAAAGATAGATCATCATTCATAGTGTTATAATTTCTTATGGTCAGGCAGGGTCATCATTTGTGTCTTACAGACAGCGCAACAATTTCAAGTTGTACTTCAACATAACTGTTTGTCAAATCTAAAGTATGTGGAACTATACTCATGCACATGGCAGAGCAGAGGGGGAATCGTCCATGTCTAGTTTTTTAATTGACACAAAACATTTAAATAGTAATTTTAAGGAAACCTCAGACAATGACAAAACCTCCATATTTTTTTTTAAATAAAAGATAAGTTAAAGCTAGGATTGTGTTTGACAGTTTAATTTTTGTTTTTTAGTCAACCAACAACAACAAGTGAATTTCAAGTCAAATCAACAAGTTCCATTGGTTATCAACAATAAAAATACTAATATCAGGGTAAGTACTTCCATGTCTGACATTGCATCCTGGGAAGGCACTGATTTGGTGAAAAGAAAGATTGCATAAGAAATTTCTAATCCAAATTTTCTATTGGCTGTTTCTTAAGTACAAAATGCTAATTATGGTTAAATGTAAAGTAGACATATCAAGCAAAAGTTTATTGGAGAAAGAATATTACACTTTACAGATAAATGGAAAAAGAATTGATTATGCAACGGAAGTACAAAACTGGTTCTTCAAACTTTTAGTTAAAATCTAGAACTGTAAAATTAAGAGTACTAAAATCCAGTCAGCTCTCGTCTTGAAATTGGTTTACTTGCAATTCTACATGAACAGAAATATTTAAATGGTCCATCTGTTGAAATATATAAATATTAATCATATTGTTAATGATATAAATTTACTCCTTTCGAATGACTCGAACTTAATCTATTATTCCAAAGTAAAATAAACAATGTAAATTTTGTTCATTAAGTTGATATGTTACTCCTGTTGATAATTGATTCATACCAACTTATGCTCCTGATAAATTTTTAATTTTATCAAATTGATTTCTGTAGTTTCTCCATAGTTAAAAAGAAAAATTGTCACATAAAATAGACAAAATAACCAGATTTATTGTTATATTGTTAAAATTTCATAAACTAAATTAGTATAAATGATATATTCTTGAAATCTTTCATTAGAATTACGATTTGATTAAAAAATGCATGAAAATGCAATTGTGACATGACTGCAGATAAAAAGAAGAAAATCCTGAATATGAATTACTTATTTAATAGGTAAAACTGTAAACACACACTAATAAATGAAAGCTATATAGGTACAGACTGATTAAAATATTTACCATATATATATTTTCAGACAACAGTACCAGCTCAGGCAACACAAACTATACAGACAGTTATTATTCAACCACCACAACCAAAAACAATCAAAAACAAGTCATGTCTTTGTAAACCATTTGTACAGACTAAGGCCACATCATGCCGTCCTCACACACAAACAAAGGAAACACAAACAGGTATGGCTTGTATTCTCATGTATTTTTGTAGTGCAATTAATTTGAACATGCAATTATCAAAATACTTGGTTCTAGATTACTGGCTTATATTTCATTAGTCAGATTGTTCAGACTACTGCTTGTATTTAGCATCTGAAGAGGTTTTATGCATTATCTCCAAACATAAGTCCGACATAGGAAAATAAAAGAATAAAAAAGGATATGGTGTATCAATTCCAAATTTAAACTTGCACATGGAATAAATGAAATCAAAGAAATAATGCTTTTATTGCTGTTCTTCATCTCAAAGTCTTAGTGAGCCCTCAAAACAGCAAAATCTCGAGTTCGAGACAGCCTCTAGCATCAGTTTGAGCAATATTTATTTTAAAGATAAAGACTTCTGATGCATTAAGGATATTTCACATTGAAAGTAACAGTCCATAACATGATTTGATAGTTAGATTTATTTATGATTGATAAGAAATAATTCACAAAGGATACATTTAAAATTTTTAGTTAGGATTTCATTATTTGTGTCTTTAAGATGGTATTACTTTCTAATTATTTCTCTATCATGTATGGATAAAACTTGCAAATGTGAAGAAATAAGGTGACAATTTTATTCAAATTAAATTTTCATGTAAAAATACATATGTGAACAAAAGCGAATGAAAATTACAAATAAATAAAACACAGTTTAAAGTTTTTCAATTTTATTTCAGACAAAGATATGGAACCCCAGAATGTGTTGATACCCATCCCGATACCTTTCTATGTTCCAGTACCAATGGCAATGTATTCACAGCCAACACCCATTGCCTTTCCCTTCCCCATACCTATACCCATACCATGCTTCATACCAACCACCAAGAAAAGTACCAACAGTATTCTGAAACACATAAAGGTATGTACTAAAAAGATGGTCATAGTGTTTAGTAATGGATGTTTATTTAAGGGATATAACTGGATGTACAAATGACCTATGATATACCTTCTTAACAATACAGGTTTAATTTTCAATGCAAGGGCCAATAGGGTTTATGTTATTGATTGTTGAATGAAATACTGATTCTTAAACCCAAACATGCCACCAAGATCGTGTTGTCAAAGGACACCTATGGCACCTGAACATTAAAATCGACAACCTCTCTGCACAAAGATAACATGAGATCATCTCAAATAGAAAATCCTTTAGAATGGATCAAATGAGTGAAGGGCATCCATTTAGTAAAAGCTGACCATTTGAAAGATTGATTAATAGCAAATAAATTGAGTGATTGACTGGTGGGAGTACATTAAGATACCACCAAATAAAAGATTAAAACAAATGGAACTGTGGTTAAAAAATACTGAAACCTGAGAGCTAATACATGTATTGTGTGATATTCAAAACTATGGAATTTAATTTCTCCCTTAATGTAGGATGAATGAATTGTGAAAGCTATTTGTTGAAATACGTTGAATGATAATGGATTTATGTAATGTTTCATGGGTAGAATTTTACGATTATATACATATTTCATAGTTCATCAACAGTGACCACTAGTCAATTCTGAGGTTGTTAACTTGAATCCTGCTCATGTCGTGGTGTATTTAACTGTGATATTAAATGCTGATTGCCAGTTTCCCTGCCGAAGGTCATGGTTTCTCTCTAGGTGCTCCAGCATTCTCCACCAATCTCCACCAATTAAAACTGGCTGCCATAAAACAGTCAAAATAGCTGAAAGCAACACCAACAAACCATTTATATAGGATGGAGCATACCTTTGATCCCTTTTTGTCATTTAATCCAAAAGTGAAGAGTAAAATACCCTGATGTCAAATTAATTGCTTAGGATAAAGCACTTGATGTACTTTTATTATTTACATTTGCATAAATAATTTTAAAACTAAAACATTAGGAATTTTGTGTTTTGATTTAAGGAAATTCGTGAGAAGATACCTGACGATCCTTTAGAAGCAGAACTTTTAATGATGGCAGAGGCAGTGAGTGCCGTGGCAAAGGACTCATCAGAATCTGAATCAGAAAATGAGGCAGAAATGGAACCAGTAGAAGGTATAAACAGAAAACCAGTCTTCTAAGCTCAAATAACGATCCCATTTTTTTTTTTTTTTATTCCTGTCTTTGGTTCTGAGATTTAAAAAGCAAAAAACTCCTGTCTACCTTTAAAAGATTTATTATAACCTTTTATTAAAGATTATTTACTGATGCTTGTTGAAATGTAAAAAAAATGGTGGTTTGGCACAAGCTTATCAACTATACTATCACAAAATATATATTATAATCTCTTACTGCGCTATTTCTTTCTTTTAATGTTTATGTTGTTTTCTGTGTATATTCTGTTAGAATAGTATGTGTATGTTGTTTTTGTGTATAATTATACATCTAGCCTGTTAGAGTAGTTTGTGTATGTTGTTTTTGTGTATAATTATGCATCTAGCCTGTTAGAGTAGTTTGTGTATGTTGTTTCTGTGTATATTTATGCATCTAGCCTATTACAGTAGTTTGCATGCCTTGTATATGTATATGAAATTATTTATATTATGTTATATCTTGCTAGCAGTTAGCTTTTTTTCATCTAAAATGAATTTTTATAATCTTATTTCTGAAAAGAGCTTGTTCTAACTTATTGCGAATATTTGAATCCAAGATGAATATTAAATATATTAACTCCTTTAAACTCTTTTTTTTCAAATGACAGTTGATGTGAAAACTTAGTTTTTGTTTGAAAAATCATATATTTTGGAAACATCTCTTTGTGCTAGGATTTTAACAAAAATTGAAATGTAGGTATGATATGCTACATGTATATTCAAAAATTTTCCCAATTTCACAAAATTTTAATTGCTAAACTATGAGAAATACCTTTTTGTGTTAGGATTTCGATGAAAATTCATTTATGGGAATAATAATTTATTCCAAACTGATTCCTGGCATCAAATCTTTTTTGTGCAAATAAAAATTAATATATGCTATGGTATTTCAAATAGATTTTAATGAAAATTGATATATTGGTATATAATATGCTTTTCCAAACTGGTTCCCAGTGTCTATGTCCACAACTTTCAAAATTTATGTCAAAATATATAAATAACTCATAGTGCTTGGATTTTAACAGTTTTTATACGCCCGTTTACGGGACGTATTATGGTATACCGTTATCCGTCTGTCCGTCCGTCATCAACATGTCGGACTATAACTCAAGAATGCTTTCACTAACTTGCAAGAAATTGTGGTGAATTGTTTATATCTATTGACATGAGCTCCCTTTAGATTTTTATATATTTTAGATTTTACGTTTCCGAGTTAAAGGGTTTTATTCATAAAAAAAGGGGGATTTTCCAGTTTTCTGACAAAAAATCAAAAATGCTTTCAGCAGTTCTTATGAAACTTTGGTGAATTGTTTATACCTATTGACATGAGCTCCCTTTCGATTTTTATATATTTTAGATTTTACATTTCTGAGTTATGGGGTTTTATTCATTAAAAAAGGGGAGATTTTCCAGTTTTCGGACAATAACTCAAAAATGCTATCAGCAATTCTCATGAAACTTTGGTGAATTTTTTATATCTATTGATGTAAGCTCCCTTTACATTTTCATAAATTTCTATTATGACATTGAGAATTAATTGAACTTTAATTGTTTATAGTCTGACAACAGATTTACTTAGTATTGCGCAACAGCACAGGAATATAAATTCAATTCATATAACCAATTTCAAGTTCTTTGACTACATTTATTCAGAAACCTATAATATGTCAAATATTTAATACAATCCAAATTCAGACCTGTATCAAGCTTGAATATTGTGTTCTTTTTTGCCCAAACTTTTTAGGGTTGGACCTCTGCGGGCGTTCCCAGCTGCGCTCAGCGAAGCAGTTTATTGATATTCATGTATAAAATATCCTGAATTATGTTCTGGTGTCTTGAAAACAAAATGACACCCTATGAACATATATTGCTTTGTTTGCATCAGCATTTATTTGTTTCTGTTCTTCCAAAAATGTACAAGCAGTGCCCTTCCTTACATGTCAGATTTCTAGCTGTTTATTGTATGTGTAAAATATTGACTGCATTTTACCAGTGACTTTATAGAAGTGTTATGAAGACAAGATATAAACATTGAAATCTTTTTTAACTGAACCACTAATATTATCCATAAAATTAATGTTTCTATTTTGCACTCCTGTGTACATCCAACAAAAATCATGTGAAGTACATGTACATAAAAATGTAATAGGAAATAAACTATATATTACTGATTAAGGTAGAATGGGGAGTAAACAAAAAATGGCAGACTTTTTTCATACTTTGCCTAAATATTTATACCGTGCAAATTTCAAAAATATAATAAGTAAAGGTCACCAAGCTTATATTCAATCTACAAATTTTGAAAAATTGACACAATTTATATGGAATATACAGGGAGAAAAAGCATTATTATTTGTACATGTTGTAATGAATGAAAACAAAATCACAGAATTTTGAAATAAAATATGAGAAGATAGTTATATAAAATTACTTTGAAAAATTAAATGAAAAAATTGGGTCACAGTTCTTTTTTATGGCTCCGCCGCGGTGGAGGGAGCATTAAGTTTTACCCTTGTCTGTCTGTAAGTCCCAAAGTTTATTTCTGTTCTCTTAACTTTAAGTTTGCCTCAACCAAATGTTATGAAACTTATACACAATGTTTATTACCAACAAACACATATCAAGTTTGAATTTTGGTGGCGTCACTTTCACCGTTATCGAGTTATGTCCCTATATGAATGTAATAATTGGCAAATGTGCAGTTTCCACAATCTAACTAAATTTTGCCTCTTAAATATTATGAAACTTATACTAAATGCTTATTACCACTAAACGCAGATCAAGTTTGAATTTTGGGTGGTGTCACTTTTGCTGTTCTGGAGTTATTTCCCTTTGTTAATTGATAAAAAATTGCAGAATTTATTGTATATTTACAAGCTTGGGCATCTGTTTCCCATGGAAATATTCTTCATTTCTTTCTATTATACAAAATAATTTGAATGTGTTTCCTCTAAAAAAAATAAAATTACATTTTAAACCTGGTTTTCCGACTAAAATCTGGCTATTGATTTAGGGTTGTAAGGCAGGCAGGTTAGCCGATGGCTCATGTTATTTCAGTACAACAACTTATAAACCAAGGCTTTTCAAATTTTAATATGTTGTTACTGATGACAAAATGGAGGTCAAGTTCTATATTGAAACTTTTCTATTTTGCTGTTCATGAGTTATGGTCCTTGATTGCTTTTACAATGAATCTCAAAAATGTAATAAAAACCCAGTTTGCTGTCATTAAATAGGCTCTTGTTCAATTTTAGAATCAATCAAAAAATATTCTTTATTTAAAAAAAAAACAGTCTTAAACAATAAGATAATCCAAAATGGTGAAAGACCCCCATACTAACTTAAAGGGAGAGAAATTTTATTGCTTGTCTTGTCATGACAATGGCTTAAAGAGATTGAACCACAGGGTGTTTATCTTTCCCTTTTAAAAACTTAAATGAAATATTTCAGTTGTAAAACTCCCTAAAAGGTATGAAATTGTTCATACGAAAAGGTTAACCTATAATAACAAAAAGCTTTATAAAATTAGATGTTTTTATGCCCCCAACGCTAGGCAAAGGGGGCATTAAGTGTTATCCTTGTCCGTCTGTCGCATATGTCTTCCAAAATTGGTTTCCGTTCTCTAACTTTAGTTTGCCACAACCAAATGTTATAAAACTTAAACACAATGCTTATTACCACTAAACACAGATCAAATTCGAAATTGGGTGGAATCACTATTACCTTTCATTAGTTATGCCCCTTTATAAACATAAAAATTGCTGAATTTTTCGTTTCTGTTTTCTAACTTTAGTTTGCCTCAACCAAATGTTATAAAACTTTACATACACAATGCTTAATACCACAAAACACAGATCAAGTTTGAATTTTTACTTTTACACTTTTACTGTTCTATAGTTATGCGCCTTTACAAATATTGAAAAATTGCTGAATTTTTTGTTTCCGTTCCCTAACTTAAGTTTGCCTCAACCAAATGTTATGAAACTTATAAACAATGCTTATTACCACAAAACTCAGATCAAGTTCCAATTTGGGTGGCGTCACTTTTACTGTTCTTGAGTTATGTTCCTTTATAATATTATATGCAAGCGGGGGCATCATCTGTGTCCAGGACACATTCTCCATTTATTTTGTAAAAGATAATAGTGATTTAAGTGAAATGAGATACACATGTATTCATATACAATGTATTGTAATTATAATTTAAGTCTTATTTTATTGAGACTGTAAAGCAATCTTTCCTGAGAGTGCTTTCAAGCACTTTTATTTTTTTCATTTGGCTAGATGCATAAATGTACACTTCCTCCTTCAGAAATAGCAGTCACCAAAATCTCTCCCCCTTCTGATTCCCCAGAACCTGAAGTTCCAGAAAAACCTGCTGATCTTGGAGAGGACATGTTACAGATGGCGCTCAGAATGGCAACAGAGATGACCCCTGAACCGGTTATGGATCTAGAGGAAACCATTGAACCTGTTCCTGTCAGTACAGGTATGATAGATCTGTGAGGTCATGTTTAAATAATACAATTAAATATGGAATGAATATACAGGATTTTTTAATACTGTAATTCAGAAATTACGACGGGATAGGTTTGGAAAAAATAAAACTTTTGTTTAAATTTTGAAAGCATTATGTATGGAAGTCACAAAATTCATCTTGCATTTTTGTCCATTGTTCAATTGTTGAAATAATGGACTTAATATTTGCGGCCGTAGAGAACCCATATCAAACGGAACCTACTTTTTAGGCTAGATATAAATTACTGTATATTACTGTAAAGTGATAAACAATTTGTTACTTAAACCTGATAAGAGACATTTTTATGTCAATTTTTCTTATATATTACATACCTAATCTTTTAATATGAAACATATAGCCTTAACATCATGAATGTTCTTAATGAATATAAAATTAAGGATATGTAGTATGACTGACAATGAGATAACTATACAATAAATTTACAGAATTAGAACAGTTATACTACTGAATATTAAAGGGAGTAAACTGCATTTACACATGAGCATGCTTTTTTACTTTGTCACAAAAGGTTGTGGTAAAAAAATGCAATCTCTCGAATCTGAACTTCATTAAAGATATAAAATTATATTCTTATTTTCCTTTTTATATTAAAGAACCCCCACCAAAGCCAAAACCCAAAGAACAAGAGGATACTGAAGATGAAGAAGATGACGATGAATACACACCTGTCCGAGAAACTAGGTCGCAAAAGGGCAAGGGGACAAAACGACCCGGTAGCAATCAGGCAAGACGTAGATCAAAAAGACAGAAAGCACCTGTAGTCTTGAAAGTGGAGGAACCGTCTGCTCCGGAGCCTGAACCTGAACCAGTAAATGAAACACCGCCTGATGCAAATATGTATCTCAAATATACGTATGGTGTGAACGCATGGAAACATTGGGTTGTTCTGAAAAATAATCAGTTGGATAAAGTAACCAAACAAGGTTCTGGAAAGTTAAAACTGTTTAAGACTGACATGTTACAATGCTCTGCAGATGAGCTGAATTATTCTTTATGTTTGTTTGTTAAGGAAGTACGGAAACCAAACGGGGAAGAATATGCACCAGACAGCATTTATTATCTTTGCATAGGTATGTGATATCACTTCCTGATATAATACATACTGAGAATATATTTTTGAGAGGAACTCTTAATTGAAAAATTGCAAAGATACATTTTTGTAACAATAGGACTTTTATATATATATATGTCATTAAATATCATCCATTGTCCAAAAACAGGAAATCAGTACTCCTAGATGACCTTGGTATCATCATGATCATATGTAGAAAAAGCTTAATAATATAAGTATATTGGAACTGACAATAATAATAGTATATTGGAATGATCTTTTTAAGGTTAATAAGTTGATTGGTAAATTTACCGACAGTTTTGTATAATAGGTTGAAATAACAGTCATTTTTATACGCCCGTTTACGGGACGTATTATGGTATACCGTTGTCCGTCTGTCCGTCCGTCCGTCTGTCCGTCCGTCTGTCCGTCGTCAACATGTCGGACATTAACTCAAAAATGCTTTAACCAATTTGCATAAAACTTTGGTGAATTGTTTATATCTATTGACGTGAGCTCCCTTTCGTTTTTTATGAAATTTAGATTTTACGTTTCCGAGTTATGGGGTTTTATTCATTAAAAGAAGGGGGATTTTCCAGTTTTCGGACAATAAGTCAAGAATGCTTTCACCAACTTGCAAGAAATTGTGGTGAATTGTTTATATCTATTGACATGAGCTCCCTTTAGATTTTTATAAAGTTAAGATTTTACGTTTCCGAGTTACAGGGTTTTATTCATAAAAAAAGGGGGGATTTTCCAGTTTTCGGACAAAAACTCAAAAATGCTTTCAGCAATTCTTATGAAACTTTGGTGAATTGTTTGTATGTATTGATGTAAGCTCCCTTAAGAATTTTATAAATTTTACATTTTACATTTCTGAGTTATGGGGTTTTATTCATTAAAAAAAGGGGTGATTTTCCAGTTTTCGGACAATAACTCAAAAATGCTGTCACCAATTCTCATGAAACTTTGATGAATTGTTTATATCTATTGATGTAAGCTCCCTTTTTATTTTCATAAATTTCTAATATGACATTGAGAATTAATTGAACTTTATTTGTTTATAGTATGACAACAGATTTACTAAGTATTGCACAACAGCAAGAAATCTTTAATTGCATATAAATTCAATTCATATAACCAATTTCAAGTTCTTTGACTACCTTTATTCAGAAACCTATAATATTTCAAATATTTACTTACAATCCAAATTCAGACCTGAATCAAGCTTGAATATTGTGTTCATTTTTGCCCCAACTGTTCAGGGTTGGACTTCTGCGGGCGTATTTAGCTGCGCTCAGCGAAGAAGTTTATTGTAAAAGTGTTTACTTGATTATGTATTTTTCCATAAAAATTAATAAAAACATGACATAACAAGCTTCTTTTAAATTGTTACAGGTATTCAGATGTTTCTTTTTGAAAATGAAAGAATAGACAACATCTTTACAGATATTTACTATGAGAAGTTTACAGAATGTCTAAATGAAGTTCTACAGCGATACACACCCAAATTAAATGCAGCAGGTATATCAGTTTGTTAGTCTATTTTAAAAGTCATTTCTTGAGTAAACCAATGTAAAATTGTAAAATATTCTTAGATATTTTTCTTCAAAGTAGCTGTTCATTAGTAGTGTTCTTCAAAGTTTTTGTATTTTTTTTTTATCTTGTGTAGCGTTGGTAATTTTTTTATGTCATCATTTTCATCATTGAGTTCACATTAGATGCTGACTGAGAATAGCTATAATCTTTGACAGAACACAAACACTTTATTGTTCAGAGAAATAAATGATAGAAGTTTATCTTTCAATTATTATCGTTTTTACTCTTAAAATAAAGAAAAATTGTTAATGGCAGCATGTAATTATATTTTGATAACATGTTGCAGACATTAAATGTTAAGATCAGAGTCTTAAATGATACAGACATTATCATTATTTATTATTATTGTTAATAATTTTGTTATTTTTTTACCTTAAAGGTCAGATTGTATGTAGAATTGAAGAAGAACATTTATGGGAATGTAAACAATTAGGTGCTCACTCGCCACATGTACTGCTTAACACACTTGTGTATTTCAATACCAAATTCTTCCAACTGAAAACCCCTGAAGAACATTTGAAATTGTCATTTACGCACATAATGAAACACTGGAAGAAAACGCCTGTTGGTAAAGGGAATACCCAGGGCAGAAGTGTGTATCTGAGATATTACTGCCCTGCCCCAGTGAGACCTGCATCAGGTATGTAGTTCATTTACCATTATTATACTTCATGTCAAAATGCCAGATTTTGATTGGTTAATACGAGGGAGACAATTTACTCTATCCTATGGTAAATACTCTATTACCCTTCACAGAGACGCTTGATCAAGTGTGCGCTTTATTAAATACGGATGGTTGTTATGTACAAGACGTCATAGTTTATTACTTTGAATTTGAAATTTAATCGACAGTAATAACAGAACATTCAGTATAATAAATTAAATAACACATATCTGAGAGGGTGATAGAGCGGATTGTTACTCCTCGAAAAGACATTGTCAACCTTGGCTTCGCCTCAGTTGACAATGTTTTCTCAGGTATATATCAGATATATAAATAGTTTTACTTTATATGCCTTGGTGCCACATCAAACTTTCCTCTTTTTTATTCAAGCATCACTGATGAGTCCTTTGCAGACAAAACATGCTTCTGGCATATATATTTTTAAGCCTGATACATAGAGTATCTATGATGAGTATTATTATTAGGGTTAGAATATTGTTATTCCTGGGAAAAGTTGTAAAATTATTGAATACTGTAAATTCAGAAATTATTGTGAAGTTTTTATTAATGTGAATAATGCGACTAGGTGAGTATCGCAATAATAAGAACTCGCATTCTGATATGTTACTGTAAATTCAGAAATTATTGCGTGCATTTATTATTGCGATTTTGTCATTTTAAACTAAAATGCGATTTTAATTTTTGCGATATTGAGAAAAATCCTGTTTAATTCATATAAAAAATTTCATAATGCGAGTTTAAATTATTGCGATTATAACCATATCGCATTTTTCGCAATAATAAAAACATCGCAATAATTTCTGAATTTACAGTATACATTTATCTGTATGAAGATTTTCCTGACATCGTAATAATTAATCTTGCATTTTTGTCCATTCTTCAAAAATCGCAATAATAAATGCACGCAATAATTTCTGAATTTACAGTACATTACATTATTATGTTCAGTCAAAAAATGTAGAACAATATATATTTATTTAAGGAGGAAATCCAAAGCACATTTTATTTAAGCCTCTATATGAAACAATGTAACTTCTGCATTATAATTTCATTGTGTAAAAGTGAAATGGACTTCCTCATAAAGCATTTATAATTTGCAACAATAAATATACACATACTCAGGATTCATTTATTTTTGGGGACCAAATTTTGTTGATTTAGGAAACATGGCATTTTTATGGATATTTGATGTATATTTATAAGTTTGCATGGAGCCTATAGAAAATTACACCCACGAACTTCATGAAAATTTGTATCCCACGAATAAAAATGAATCCAAAACATTATTTTTTTGTAAAAACAAGCTATAGAATTGTTTCTATGTTACAGATAACAACAGAAAGAAGAAAGAAGAACTGCCTGTATATGAGCAGGCAGAGAATTTAGATAACCCTCTTAGATGTCCTGTCAAGTTGTACGAGTTCTACCTATCTAAATGGTAAGATTCAAATCATTTACGAAAAGTTATTATGTGCTCTAGTAATTACAAAGAAAAGTTAACCAGATCTTGTGTTGTTATGTTTTCAAAAAAAGAAAATAGATTTCTGGTAAACATTGACTCTTCAGCTTCCTTCCTAAGGGAACATCCATTCTTTAAGGGGAGTTGGTTTTTATACGCCCGTTTACGGGACGTATTATGCTATACCGTTGTCCGTCTGTCCGTCCGTCGTCAACATGTCGGACATTAACTCAAAAACGCTTTAACCAATTTGCATAAAACTTTGGTGAATGGTTTATATCTATTGACATGAGCTCCCTTTCGTTTTTTATAAATTTTAGATTTTACGTTTTCGAGTTGTGGGGTTTTATTCATTAAAAAAAGGGGGATTTTCCAGTTTTCGGACAATAACTCAAGACTGCTTTCACCAACTTGCAAGAAATTGTGGTGAATTGTTTATATCTATTGACATGAGCTCCCTTTAGATTTTTATATATTTTAGATTTACATTTCCGAGTTACAGGGTTTTATTCATGAAAAAAGGGGGATTTTCCAGTTTTCTGACAAAAAATCAAAAATGCTTTCAGCAGTTCGTATGAAATTTTGGTGAATTGTTTATATCTATTGATGTAAGCTCTGTTTAGAATTTTATAAATTTTACATTTTACATTTCTGAGTTATGGGGTTTTATTCATTAAAAAAGGGGAGATTTTCCAGTTTTCGGACAATAACTCAAAAATGCTGTCAGCAATTCTCATGAAACTTTGGTGAATTGTTTATATCTATTGATGTAAGCTCCCTTTACATTTTCATAAATTTCTAATATGACATTGAGAATAAATTGAATTTTTTTGTTTATAGTCTAACAACAGATTTACTAAGTATTGCGCAACAGCACAGTCTATTGCACAACAGCAAGAAATCTTTAATTGAATATAAATTCAATTCATATAACCAATTTCAAGTTCTTTGACTACATTTATTCAGAAACCTATAATATGTCAAATATTTAATACAATCCAAATTCAGACCTGTATCAAGCTTGAATATTGTGTCCATTTTTGCCCCAACTGTTCAGGATTGGACCTCTGCGGGCGTATCCAGCTGCGCTCAGCGAAGCAGTTTATTTTTCTTTCTGAAGATGTTTTAAACCACACAAGCATCAAATTATTTATTATTTTGTTGCACAAAGCACCAATTTTTTTATAAGAACTTACCATTGTATTTAAAGCCATAAACTAGATAAAAAAAATTGTGTTTTCATTCTCCCTGATAAAAATATTTTTTGCAGGAGGATAAGTCGGGAATCAGAATATTTAAATAAAATAAAACCATACTCCATCTCAGGGATAAATTGGAAGGGAAGTTAAGCAATATATACATATGATTTTGATAAACTTTGTAATGTTAACCTCTACTAATCATAGATTACAAATAGGCTCTGTAGCTAATTTCTAAATCTCTTTTATTTCATTGTTATTAAGAGCATGCAATACAAAAAAGATCCCTCCTACAAATGGAAAAATGGCCGTAAAGCACATATCCGTTTTATGATACATCAACATCCATGTACAATGCATATTTATTATTTTACAGTCCAGAAAGTATAAAGAACAGAAGTGATGCATTCTACCTGGTACCAGAACGATCCTGTGTCCCTGACAGTCCCGTCTGGTACTCTACACAGAACCTTCAGACTGAAGCCATGAACAAAATGTTAAATAGAACATTACTAGTCCGTGAAATACAGGAGTCATTTATACATACACAACCAATCTATGCATAATATCATTGTTCAGCTTTAGATCATACTTTTACAATAATCATGTATATATCACCCAAGCCCAATTGCTAGTACTTATAATTTTTGTAATTGTTCAATGATTTTCTTTTTAATTGTATAAAATATTCTATTTTAGTCTGACAGATTAAATCATAAAGAGGTGGTTATGTCTAGATCAGCATTATGTTAACATAATTTGTTCAGTAAGACTATATCAGTATTATTTCAAAACTCTATAAACTTTAAAATGATTATTGAAATGGTTTTAAAACATTTTCAAAATTGAAAGCAACATATTTAATTGTAAAACTTGGAATTAAAAAACTTTCAAATACATTGCAGTTCAAAAGTTATGTAACTGGTTTAATCTAGTATAAACTGATAATGTTTACAATTCAATTTTACCATGACACACTTAAAACTGGAATCGGTTACTTCCCTATTTCTTTATGCACGAAATATAATAACTATGTAATTAAAGAAAGTTGAAATAATCCTACAATCTTGAGTTCTGTCATTTTCTTGTTTTATAGCTGTATTATATGCTAAAACCATATATATATCAAACTTTTATACATTGAGTTTTATCCACCAGCATAATCATTCATTTAAGATGTTGCAATAATTAAACATCATGTAGATATTAGTTTAAATGTATACATATAGGTTGTCCTCCATTAGAATATGATTTTTATTTTAATCCTTAAATTTATGATGTCATGACCAATACAATCACCACACATTGTCTCCTCTAAGAGTCCTCTTCACTCATATTGGGAGACAAATTAGTCATGTCTGTCTGTCTGTTAGGAAAAAGTTTGTCAACAGAAATATCCCTATTGATTTACATAGGAATAGATTGAAACTTGACAGAATTACTTAATACAAGTTTAGTTGTGTACCTCATATTAATTATTTTTATCTTTGGATTTATGTGGATTTCCCATAGCAAAAAACAGCTTAGGAAGTTTTCCAATGCAATGATACATCATACATATAACGTTGTGATGAAATTCCAGCATGATAGAATTATTTCATACCATAGGCAATGATAGATTGAAATGAGTTAACAGTTTGTAGTTAATGTGGATTGGCGTCAGAGTTTGTCACATTCGTAAAGAAATGAACAAAAATCTTATCAAATTCAGGCTCTGGAATTTCCTATGGTTTTGAGCCTTCATTGTTTAATAGCCAGTTTTGTATAATACCCATGACATTGTCTGTTTTGTGCTATGTTTTTTTGTTTGTTCCTGGACTATATGAAGTCTGAAGGTTTTTTCAGTTTTAACTGGCAAGTTTAGGTTGTTGTATACAATTCCCTTCTACCATTTGATATTAATTACTGTAAATTAATTAGCGACTACAAATTAGCAGGAATAAAAATGACGGGAAGACATGTAATTTAAACCTAGAGACTTCATATTTAGCAGCTTTTGATTACACATTGAAAATTATTTACATTTTTATCCAAATTTTTTAACAATTTAAGTGGGGAGGGGGGGTTATTTTGTCTATCCATTTTTTGTTGCAAAATAAAAGAAAGATAAAAAAATTCTTATCATTGTCTTTACAATTGATATTTCTTCTTTATTCATATTTACCATTGAATAGCATTACATTTCATATTTCATATAATTGTTCACAAGACATAATTTGTTGTATATTTCATGTATTTGTTTTGTATATAATAAGTAGATAGAGTTATAAATTGTTACAAGTATATGCGAATATGTACTTATCATGTTGTTGGTTATTTTTCAAAGTTTTATATTATTGACCATCATTTGTAGTATTTTTATGATTTGAATTTGAGTTGTTAGTCAATTAGACAGCTGTCGCCACCCTCTGTTACTTAAAATGTTTAATGAGGGATTATTTGTTATGTATGTTTCAAAAACTTATTTCCTAATCTTCAATCAATAGTGCACTTTAGAAAAGCTTAAATCATTTGCCCTTTAAGTAAATACATTTCTTTTACTTTTTGTAAGATTTCAACCACTATTGCATCATTTGTAAAGATTATTACATTCTGTTGCATAAATAAATTACATTTTTTGCAATAGCATATTATTTTTTTCTAAAAATGAAATTGGTTTTTGATTATAGAAAAATATCAAGTTGAAAAGTCTTTGACGAAATTAAATGTAATTAACACCAAATTTTATTTTTGATATGAATTGTATTTTATTATAGAACCATTGCTTAAAACTTTTCAGGAATTTGTTGGATTTCTCAGATTTTGACACTATTTGCCCCTGTATATTCCTTTGCAAAATATTGATTTTTTTTTTAATTGGAGTTTTGTTTATTACTGTACTTTTCCTGAATCGACTACTTTTTGTTCTTCAATGTGTATATATATTTTGGGGGAAAACTATTGTCAAAATACAGTGTCACTGAACAAGATTGTACACACTTAACAATTTTGTTGTTATATAAAAAATGAAAATGAAACTTAAAATAAAATGACTTTCTCAGATAATTTTCTGTATAGTAATATTCTAAAGAACATATTTCTGCTGCAGCTGCTACTAAAGATGTGTCGATAAATTTTATCATCTAAAAGAAGCAATTTTTTGTTGCATCTAAGGGAGAAAATATTGCCATGTGACAAAAAGACAATTTGAACTCATTCATTTATGAATTGTTAAATTTTGGGTGGCGTCACTTTTACCGTTCTCGAGTGATGACCCTTTTTAAGCGTTAAATGCAAGCTGGGGCATCATCTGTGTCCCAATGGAGACATTCTCCATTTACTTTTTCTAAGACAATTCTATTTTCAAATAGAAATTCATATCTTGATGGATTTAAAAGAAAATCATCAGTAAACATTTAATTTTCAGATGCCTCTAAATTTTGCTGATTTTTGTCACCAAAACAAACAAAAAAATTTTTTTGACAGGTGAATTTAATATATACCAGTTAACATAAAATACTAGAAAGAAAATTGTATGCCTCACAAAATTATGTCACAGATATGTAGTTAAATTGTTGACAAATCTTGAAGTTTTTATGCATACTTAATCAAGTTTTTTTCACAAGCATAATGTAACATTTTAAAAGATACTGTCTGTTGCAGAAAATATAGTTGAAAAATCATCTTTCAGAATTCATTTGTCCAACAACTTATATGACACAAAGATGTCTTTTGGTTATTTGTGTTGTTGGCTTGCCGTCTCATTGACATATACCTTGCATCTGTTTTTATTCATAAATTGATAGTAATTGAAGGATTGATGAAATATTATGCTGAAATACATTCAGATCATGTACTGATTAAAAAGTATATCTTACATTTGTAAAAAAATGTCACATACTGTAAATTCAAAATCTTTTAATCATTTTTATTATTGTGGAAATTGTGAAGGGATAGGATTTGCAAAAATAAAAAATCTCTTTTTAAATTTTGATATTATTAACTGTATCTCATTTGCTGAAAAGGCAATAGTTAAATATCACAATTTTGTCCATTGTTTAACAATCACCATAAGATTTGTTATAGAAGTAAACTGTGTAAAATGCCAAACTTAAATATTTTTTTTTTTTACATATATGTATTTGAAACTTGTGAAATTGATGTACTTATCTGTTATAAATACAAGTTGTAATTTTTGCAAAAGTATTCTGCTGCTTCATAATTAAAAACTAATTTTGTACAATCGTTTGTTCACAAATATTTCTCCCCTACAAAGGTGTTAAATTTCTAAACCTAAAGTTCAGGTAAATTTTCTGGAGGAGTATTTGTCATATAATCTCTTTCGGTTGGGTTTTCCATAATATTTTCGAACATTCAATAAATTATTAGATTTTCAAAACAAAGATAATCAACATTCAACTGCGTTGGTGATGGAGCAAATATTGGTAGGGTTTGTAATCTGAATAATGTGTCAGTAAAGGGGAATATTTCTTCCTGCAGTCTGTTTGTTACCTTGTGGTCAAGTACAAAGCATGGTAGATTCATATTTTATTGACATGCTATTGTCAGTAATATCCATGTAATGTACCCTGGTCCGTCAACATCCAAATGAATCCAATTATTAATGAACTAATCAGCTAAAACAATATCAGGTAGCTTGGGCATTTTATATTTAACACAATTTTTTGTATGCCCCACTTACAATAGTAGAGTTGAATTATGTTTTTCTCATTTGAGGGTCTTCCTTCCTTCCGTCTGTTTGTTAATCCATCTTTCTGTCCCATACAAGGTTAAACATTTGGTTTAAGGTAGTTTGTGGTCACATCAAAATGAAGCCTTACACATGTGCTAATTATAAAGTGAACTGTTTAATACCTATTCTAATTGGTGTTTTAACCCAGATTTAACTACGTCATCCCGTTTCCGGGACCAGATGAGATGTTCGTGCGCATGTGTAGCTTCAGTTCGTAGCTTTATTTCATAGAAGGCAGACGTGGTCTGTATTTGTAGCTTCTATAATGAAATATTTTATTACTATAACTACGAGGTAGTTATTATTTATTGCTTAATCAAGTAAATAAACTCGAGGGGTTTATTATTTATTTATTTTTCTTTGTTGTAAATTTACGGTAATTAGACCGATTTACGGCAGTTGATATTTTTTAGTAACAATGGCGGACGCCATGCTCTCTAAAACTGATGTAAAATCTTTGAAGAAAGGTTCTAGTGCTTCAAATGAGGCAAAAGGAAAAAACCCTAAAAGAAAAGCATCCTGTGATGATTCTCGTTCCAAGAATGACGATACAAGTAGTAGTAATGGGGCAAAGATTGTCAGCTCTGGCGAGGCCGGAACTGTTACTTCACGACAAAAAGTTTTTAGTCAAAATACTAGCGAAGCTAGCAAAGAGCCCACTTTAGCTGATGTTTTTTCAGTCCTGAAAAATATACAACAAGAACAGAGTTCACAAAAAACTGATTTCGTGTCTCTCAAGTCTATGGTAGACGAGTTGTATTTTGCTGAGCCTGAGGGTTACGATGAGAGCCAGGGTGCAGACCCTGAAGGAGCTTATGATGAAAATAATAATCATGACAATAATGATCATGTTGTAGATGCTGAGGTTGCGGAACCTCCAGCTAAAAAACAAAAAACTGTTGACAAAGAGGGTGATAATGTTTTTAAAGCTGCTGCACAAGCTTACAGGTCTAAAGATAATGTAGATACAAGTGTAGATGACACATTAGCTGATACTGTTAATGAATTTTTCCGTGAGGGAATTTCTGATGAAAAATACAATGAACTGATGAAATCAGTGGCTAGACCAGAGAATTGTGTTTCTCTTACAAGAACTAGAGTTAATCAGCTTATTTGGGATTTACTCTCTCCTCAAACTAGGTCCTTTGACTCGGTTATACAACAGCATCAAGAAACTGTTGTAAAAGCATCTTGTAACATTACAAAATTGTTAAACATGTTGTGTAAGCTAAAACCTGACTTGGGTGACGATTGTCAACAAGAAATGCAGTCTTGCATAGATTTGGGGATTGATTCGTTAGCTTTACTGTCACAATATAACAAGATGACAAATGTAAAGAGAAAGGAATATCAAAGATTTGATTTAAGTCCTGAATATCATCACTTGAGTTCACCCTCAATTCCTTTCACTGACATGCTTTATGGTGACAATGTCCATCAAAAGTCAAAAGAAATTCAAGATATGAACAGACTTGGTCGTAATTTAAATAATAACAATTATGCTAGAGGTAGAGGAAATGGTTTTTCTCGAGGAGGTAGTTTTGGTAGAGGACGAGGTTTTGGTAGAGGCCGTGTAGGCTCTCGTCGTGGTGGATACAGAGGTGGTCGTGGCCGTGGTTACGGTGGTAGAGGCCAGTATTCAAATGATCAAGGTGCTTCAAAAAACTTGAGAGGTGTTCCAAGTTTCCTGAGGAAGTAAATTATGCTAAACAGGTAAGTTTAGCAGGTGTCTCTGATATCAAAACTTTTACAGCAGGTAGATTGAAAAATTATGTTGAAAACTGGCAAAAAATTACTTCTGATAAATTTATTTTGGATACAGTTGAACACTGTCACCTTGAATTTATTTATAATTCAATACCCACTCAAAGTCTCACACCATATCAAAGAATTTTTGATAAAGGCCAAGAAAAAATTATAAATGATGAGATAGAAAATTTGAAAAATTTGGGTGTAATAGTGGAAGTTAATTTTGATACAGATCAATATATCTCTCCAATTTTTACAGTTCCAAAGAAAAATACAAATGAGCATAGAGTGATTCTTAATTTAAAAGAGTTGAATAAATTTATTATTCCCCATCATTTCAAGATGGATACTTTTGAAATGGCTCTAAAATTGGTGAAACCAAATTGTTTTTTCAGTTCAATTGATTTGCGTCATGCATATTATTCTGTTCCTATAGCAGAGGAACATCAGAAACTGTAAATTCAGAAATTATTGCGTGCATTTTTTATTGCGATTTTGTCTTTTTTGACTAAAATGCGATTTTAATTTTTGCGATATTGAGAAAAATCCTGTTTAATTCATATAAAAAATTTCAAAATGCGAGTTTAAATTATTGCGATTATAACCCTGTCGCATTTTTCGCAATAATAAAAACATCGCAATAATTTCTGAATTTACAGTATTACGTTTTATATGGAAAAACAATATTTTTCAATATACTTGTTTACCAAATGGTTTGCTATCAGCACCTAGAATCTTTACAAAGTTAATGAAGCCTGTTTTTGCAACTTTACGGCAATTTGGTTATATGAATGTAGCTTATATTGATGACTCTCTTTTGCTTGGAGATACTGAAGATGAGTGCATAGAAAATGTACAAAATACTAATGATTTAATGGAGTGGCTTGGTTTTATAATTCATGAAAGAAAATCTGTTTTCAAGCCTGCAAAACAAATAGTTTTTTTTAGGCAATATTATTGATTCTGTATCTATGACAGTTGTGTTGCCAAAAGAAAAAGTAGAAAAAATTGTATTAGAATGTCAGAATCTGATCAAGAATAATACAGCTAGTATAAGATTAGTTGCCCATGTTATAGGCTTGTTAATATCCACTCTCTCAGCTGTGGATTTTGGTCATTTATATTACAGAAATTTAGAAATTGAAAAGATTCAGGCTTTAAAATTGTCATTTGGAAATTTTGATCAAAATATGAATATTACATCTGCCATGAAAGCAGATTTAAAATGGTGGGTTGAAAACTTACATTGTCAGAAAAGAGTCATTAATAGGAAAAATCCAGATTTTTCTATGACAACTGACGCCTCATTAAAAGGCTGGGGTGCTTTATTTAAAGACCAAAAAATTCAAGGACGATGGAATGATGTTGAGCAAACTTATCACATAAATGTTCTGGAATTGTTAGCCATTTCTTATACTCTGAAGGCTTTTTGTAAAAAATTTTCAGATATACATGTGAAGATTTTTTGTGACAATTCTAGTGCAATTGCATATGTTAACAATATGGGTGGTATAAAATCCATGCAAATGAATGAAATAACCAAACTTTTGTGGGTCTGGTGTATTGAAAGAAATATATGGATTTCAGTAGAACATATTCCTGGTAAATATAATGCTGCAGATGTTGAATCAAGAAAAATTGATGATCATTTAGAGTGGATGCTTGATAAACAAGTTTTCCATAAATTAGTGGACATTTGGGGTACTCCAGGCCATGATTTATTTGCCTCTGGAATAAATTGTCAAGTTGAGAGTTTCTCGTCGTGGAAACCTGACCCTGAGGCAGTATTTGTAAATGCTTTTAGTATTTTATGGTCTGATGAGGTATTTTATTATCTTTTTCCCCTTTTTCTCTAATTAGTAGATGTCTACAGAAAGTTCAGAAAGACAGTGCAGAGGTTCTGATGATTGTACCATTATGGCCGACTCAGACATGGTACCCAGTACTACTAGAAATGTTGATAGATTTTCCAAAAATGTTGCCTCGAAAGAAAAGACTGCTGTCCATTCCAGGAACGAAAAAGATTCATTCTCTTCACAATCAGTTAAAGTTTCTTGCTTGTCGGTTATCAGGAAAAATTTGGAAAACCAAGGCATTTCAGACAAGGCTTCCAAAATCATTTTGGCATCTTGGCGAGACAGTACGAAAAAGCAATACTCAACTTATGTCAAGCAATGGTTCCGTTTCTGTAGTAAAAGGAAAATTGATACACTTCAACCAGCTTTAAATGAAGTCTTAGATTTTTTAACAGTGCTTTTTGATAAAGGATTAAGTTATAGTACGATAAATTGTGCAAGATCTGCTTTGTCAGCCTTAGGAATAATGTTTAATGGAGTGACAGTTGGCTCTAACGCTACAATCATCAGATTTTTGAAAGGTGTATATAATTTGCGACCTTCAGAACCTAGATATAGTGAAACTTGGGACGTATCTAAAGTTTTTAATTTTTTACGGAAGTTATCTCCCGTAAAATATATTTCGTTGAAAGATTTAACATTGAAGTTAGTAATGTTAATTGTTTTATCCACGGCTTGTAGGACACAGTCGTTATTTTTGCTATGTTTAGACAATTTAGTAAAAGGAAAGGATAGTTATACCTTGTTTTATTCAGGTTTATTGAAACAGAATAGACCTGGGTTTAATGTACATTTTGTTGAACTTTTTGCCTATCCTCCAGATAGGAGATTGTGTGTTTTTACTGTTTTAAAAGAATATTTGATGAGGACAGCTAAAGCTCGCGG